TTTTCCCCTAATCGCACGGCAAATTTGATCGAAATCGGCCTTCCAGTTTTTAAGCTGTTAATGTTGGGTGTGCTCGTGCACGTGCGCACGTGCATTATCACACCTTCGTCGACTTAGAAAAACTCATACACGGTCAGCATCCAATCACACACCAGATTTCATTATAATCGGTCCGTCCGTTCCTGAGATATGACAGATGGGTGCGCACGTGAGCACGCGCGGAGCTATAGGCTCCTTGGTGCACGGCACCCTACCAACTGGTCTCTTGCAATGTACCAAATATGATTGCAATCGACACGGTCGTTCTTCATATGTGGGAGCGGCACCTTGCACGTGCGCACGTGCAATATGGGTCCCAACCAACTGACTTTGGTAAGGCAACCTTCTCGCCGGCCTCTAGCCGTGTGACAAATTTGAGCGCAATCGGTCCAGCCGTTCTCGAGATCTGGAGGCGACCCCTGCACGTGCGCACGTGCATTACCTCACCTTCATCGACTTAGAAAAACTCATGCACATTCAGTATCCAATCACACACTAAATTTCATTGCAATCAGTCAGTCCGTTTCTGAGATATGACAGAGGGGTGTCACGTGAGCACGTGAGCACGCGCAGAGCTACAACCTCCCCGGTGCACGGCACTCTCCTTACTGGTCTCTTGCGAGGTGCCAAATTTGAGTGCAATCGGCCCAGCCGTTCTCGAGATCTGGAAGCGGCACCCTGCACGTGCGCACGTGCAATATGGGTCCCAACTGAGTTTTGCACGGCACCCTTCTCACCGGTCTCTAATCGCGTACCAAATTTGAGCGCAATCGGTCCAGCCGTTCTCGAGATCTGGAAGCGACCCCTGCACGTGCGCACGTGCAATAGCACCCCAACCATGACATACGGATATGCATTGCCCGGTGGGTGCCTACTGCCTACATTAATGCCAAGTCTCAGCGAAATCGCCCCAGTAGTTGCTGAGTTACTGTAATGGGAGCACATTTAACACCTCTTCTGTTTTTTTTTGCACTTTGCACGTGCAGCGGGGGTCACTCACGTGCACCAAGAGTATCCAATGTTTGTTAGAAGGGATACAGCTACTCTACAAAAGTTACCGCAAGTCAATCGCCCCAGTGGTTACTGAGATATAGGCCTCTCAAAATTGTTACTCCAGCAGAACGACTTGAACACCCCGACTTTTCACGTGCCACGTGCCACGACGGTCACCTGAATGCATCACGATAAGCGAATTGCGGGGCAGAAAGGATGGAGCTACCCAACAAAAAAGACCGCAGGCGAATCGGCCCAGCGATTGCTGAGATATCAGCCTCTCAAAAGACTGATTAAAAATCCGTCATTAAAAATAAGAGGCCAAAGTGGCCTCTTATTTTTCGCGCCAAAAACGAGTGTCCAATCCAGGTAGTTCATGTTATCTATGGTCCTCGCTATCCTCAGGATAAACCAATCCGCATCGCCCCTATAGTCTTCATGCTTCCCTCTCTGGACTGGAGGTCACCCCACCAGCCAACCTGTAGTTGATGTCGGTTCCATTCCAGGACACATAATCCTCTTCGGGTGACCGTTGGGGAGACGACTGGAACGCCCCGACAGGGCAATCGTCCCACGGGAACAGTCACGCTTCCACAGATCACTGTCGCTGGCTCGCACATCAAATTTCTACACCAGAGCATAGTTATGTCATAGCTCTGCAAGGGCCTTCTCAGACCGAAAAAGATGGCTCCCAACAAAACAAACAATTTTCTCATTCAGTATTGTATCTCATTAGGCACCACATGTTTTCAGACTTCAGAGTGTTTATTATGCGTTCCGTCCAAAAAAAGCGCAGTTCAACTTTCTCCCATTGACTTTAGCGATCTCAAAATTGACTCGACCTTTCTGTCAGCAATGTCAAACTTGCAAAGTAAACGTTTCAAATACATATACCGTTGCCCAATGAAATCGCTGAAGGTTCTAAAGCGATCGGTTAGTCGATGCATTTAGATATGATGAGCACAGGAACTTTCCTTGAGGTAAGGTCACTTGACGTGACCTGGTGTTATGACCTTCAATTGAAAGACTTGGGCGGAAACAAATGGGTCATTTGAAATCTTAAATGTTAGATTTTAACAATAATTGCGAACACTATCCCGGCAAAATAGTGAGTGAGAAGGGAGCGATTCCCCAACCCCATGTTTAGCTCCTATAATTGAGCTAACTGCTAGAGCCTCGCGGAAAAAAACGAGCGTTTGCGTCGTTACGTGACGCAGCGACTGTTACCCCATTTTAAAATATCAGTAACCTCTTAGGGCAGGTCAAGGGCCCCACGGCATTGGATTGGTTTTTAGTGAAAAACTTCGCAAAAAATGGTCGCATTATCGTCATTTCGATACAATCGTGTTTTCTGTTCTCAGACGCGTCGATTGATATGCTTTTTTGCTTAGGTGAAGCAATTTAGGATGTTTAGGTCAATGTCATGTTAGGGCAACACAGGTCACGAAGCTGTTGAAAGGAGGACATGTTGCATAACATTTGATTCGGCAAGTCTTGCAGAGTCCATTGATGGCTGTCCCGACTGGCTAGCTCATTTTGATCGGGAGTTATTGACGAAGCACTCCTATTGACGAGCACTCCGTCACGCAAGGTGAACAATGCAAAAGTGAAGCATTAAACCTTGCCAAGAATGTATGAAGTCACGATTTCATGTGCTTGAGGTATAGTTTTAGGTCATTTCCGACGCCAAATTAACAGTTTCCATATTTTCCCATTATGCTTATATGAGACTAAGTGCATTACAGATTTGCATCATTTTATAACCGACAACCGTGCAGTCTGCAGAGGTTTACTTAAGACGTCATAGTTAACCCGCGCGGGGCTGGGGGGGTAAATTTTACCCCCCCCCCCCTCGCGAATTTTTGCAATATCTCGAAAACGGCGGCGCGCAGCGCCGCCAAACTTTCAGTACCTTTTCTTCTTACATCAATTTGACACGTTCCCTGAAAATTTGAGCGAAATCCGCCTCGGAAATTTTTTGAGAAATTGACGTTTTAGTGACGTCATGTTCGCCATTTTCGCCTCAAAAACGGCAAAATTTCAAACGCCGCTAACATCTTCATTTTTAAAGGAATCAAGACGTAACAAAAAAGGTTATACGTAATTCTACTTTGTCTATCAAATGGCTATCTCGGTTTTTTAAAATTTTGGATTTTGGCCCAAATTTAAAAAAAAACTGATATTTTTGGTAATAATTATAAAATCCAAAATTTTGAGTGTATCGAAAAAAACGGAATATATGTCAGAGAAGTGGTCTATGTGCACCTTCATACCAATTGTCAGAAGAATCGGTTCAAAAATGTGGGATTTATTCAAAATTTTATGGCGTCACGACACACAAAAATTTTGAAAATGATTTTTTTGGAAGTTCTAGACCTCGTACGGAAACAAAAATAGCACCATTCGATTCGCCGTGAAAAATTGCATCAGATAGACAACTTTTTAGGCCTTAACAACCAACTTCAAAATTTGACCTCACTTGACCTGACCTTGACCTGACCTCAACCTGAAATTCATCCAGAGGTGGTCCATATCACTTATTGAGTGTGCCTATTGAATTCTATGAGTAAAATGACCCATAAAACATGTGTCGCACATGCCCTTTTCTATATTTTGTTTTTGGTGACCTGACCTGACCTGACCTGACCTTGACCTTGACCTCTGAATGATATTTTATGCAGCGAATATTGTCTTGGTAGCCTAAGAACACGTTTTGGGCAATCAGTCTCAGTCCATGACTCCATTCTTCGGCAACTACGGTGCAAGGCCGATACTGTAGGAACTTGCAATTTGTACCCTTGACCTGACCTTGACCTTGACCTCAAACTTTAAATTAAGTACATGTTTTTAGTTGTTCGTGATGAGATCTTTCGATTGACATTTGAATTTTCCAAATCGGACCATTAGTTCGGGAGATAACAGGGGGGTAAAATTTACCCCCCCCCCCAGCCCCGCGCGTTCGGCTGGAGACCCCAGCCCCGCGCGGGTAAAGTGACCTGACATGAAAACGTGGTTGATTTCAAATGATCCGGCTTGAATCAAATGTAAGGCATATGAAATGTCAGCCTTCTATCATCACTGTGCTTTGAGCTACCACAAAAAAATACAAGGTGGCGGCATCCACCCCTTTTTCTCGGCCGGCGAGGGTTAAGCCTCGTTTCGAATAATTGCAGATAATGATGCGACCGAAAACAAAGTATTTATCGGTGTCTAGAACGGCCGCTGACTTGTTCGACAAGATCCCCAATCCTAATTTGCTAGATGGGAATAAAATACTCGGCATATGATACATATACCCCTCGATTTGCCCTCGCGCTAAGTCAATTCTAATCATCACTGTCGCTTTTTTATCCGAGATGATGTCGCCGCTAAACGGGTTGTTTTGTTTGCTTGCTTGCGTTGAATGGTCATTACGGATTATTGAAGGATTATGATATGCATGATAGGAATGGGGCGAGGGAGGATATGCACTGCAGTGCAGGTGTTTAATTTAGATCACAAAGGCATCATTTCTGGCATCGTGCAGTCACTATCTTCCCCTCTACTGCACTGCGGCATCGCTGCGCCCCACACACGGCGTCCTCGCTCCACGGCCGGCCGCCGCCAACTGACCCACTCGCCGGGCGCCGCGACCTGACCCGTGTCACTGCCGCGGCCTGCGCAATTGAGTCGGGGCTGGAATCCGGGGGTTCAGCCGGCCGGCCGCCTCTGGAGCGGGGGACTTTTTTAGTAGACCTACTGTACGACTTCCACCACTCGAGCCGAGTAGAAGCTATCTCTAGCCCGGGACCCACCCCCAGTGCAGCCGTCCTCTGTTTATATGGAGCACGGCGATAGCGCTGGGAGGCCCGAACGGACCGGCGCAGAGTGTTACGGACGGGCGGACGGACCTAGCAGCGCCCTCCCCATTCTCCCCAGATAGTCTCTGTACTCTCTCCCTCTCGGCACCCCCTGCCACACACCGCACACATCGTCACGAAGGCGTGTATTTAGATTACAAATATCTGTCCGTCTGGGGCGCGGCTCGCTCCGTGGGGCGGTCCGTTCAGCCCGGGCAGCAGTGGACACGATTGGCACAGGTCGGCGCTCCACGGCGCCACAAATAAATACAGCGGGTAACCGCCGTCTCCACCAATAAATAATGGCACAACCTATCTCGAATGTCAGACGACGCGATCAGTTCGCGAGTAGGAGGACCCATTCTCCGCGGGGCCGCTGGCGGCTCCGTACAAAACAACATAGCAAAACGACGGCGATTATGCGGGCGGCGCCGGCCGCTCGAGCGTCGCTGCCGACAGGAGCAGCGACGCCGAGCCGGCCGCGCCGCGAGTCTCGGAATGTGTGCACGGCGCCCGCCGGCGCGGGCGGGGGCGGGGCGGGGGCGGGCGGCGCTGATATGTTGTACTGCTCCAGTGGGGAGACGCCGCGCTGCCTCCAACACAACCTGTTGTCCGCGCGCCGGCCGCCAGCCGCCAATATTGCACGAATCTCGGTCACCGCCGGCGTCAGTGGGGGCTGGCCGCGGGCGCCGGCGCGGCTGCTGCGCCCGGTCAGAGCTGGTAGCGACCGGCGCGCGGTGTGCGGGCGCCGCTGACGTGCAGCGCCGCCAGCGGCACCGTCAGGTCCCGGCTCTGGCCCTCCACCGGCGCGTCCAGCAGGTGCTCGCCGCGCGACGAGCCGCTCTCGTCCGACTCTGGCGGGCTGGCGGCCGGCCTCCAGCGGCGCCCCACGGCGCCGTAGCCCGACACGTCCGGCTGGAAGGCCGGGTTGACGCTGGCGCGCGCGCGCCGGCCGCCGGCCGCCACCGGCGGGCCGTCCGCGCCGTAATAGCTGTCCAAGTGAGCGTACTCGGGGCTGACCCGCTCCGTGTAGTGCACGCTGGCCACAAACTCCGGCGGCCCGGCGGCGGCCGAGACGCGCCGCTCGCGCTCTAGGGCCTGGTACTCGTGGTCAGAGGTGGAGCGCAGATAGTCGGGCCGCCGCCGGCCGCTCCGGTACGGAGTCAGAGGCGACAGCTGCCGACACACAGACACACAGTCACGGCACGGACCACTGTCAGTGGGGACGGGGAGTATGTATGTACACCCACAGAGTGCGGGAATGTCAGGTGATTAAGACATGCAAAAGTTACATCAAAAACAAAATATACAACGAAAAAAGACAGCAAGAGGTGCAAGAGGTGCAAGAGGCCTTGCCAAAATCCTCTTGCACCAATGCTTGGATTATTTTGCATCGTGTACCCAATCCAAGACTCAAATGTGACAATTTGCGTGTAAAATTTACCAAGCACCTGTAGGATTATGCATTGGGCTATTGCAAACAAATTTACCACCGTTAGATTACCTTATTCTGAAACCGGTTTTTCGATTTTACCTAGCTCACTAGGTAGTTTGGTGCAAGAGGCTACAGCTTTGAAAATACCCAGTTAGCTAGGGTCCAGTTGCGTGGCGACTGCGGGTCCGGATAATAAATCCGACATAACCAGCTATCACAGAGCTCGCCATTTCCTCTCTGCCTCTGGTCATCTATGCACAGTTTTCAATAACATTTCACTCTATTGCAGGTCTACGGTCTATCAGAGGTCTCAATCATTCACCCACCTCGCCGCCGCCGGCCGACGAGGCACTGGAGAGCTTCCGCCGAGAGGTGGCGCCTGGAGAGCGAGGCGCCGGCGGCGGCAGCGGGGCAGTGTCAGTGAAACGCAGCGGCTGAAACGGGAAATAACAGTTACAAAACCGGCCAACAGGTGGCACCAGCGACACCTGCAGCGGTACCGTGCTTCTACAGGTGGGAGATATTCTACAGGGAGGGCACGAAAGCAAAGTAGCGAGCGTCCGATGCACAAAAATCGAAAAATTTCAACGTTGAAATCGAAATTCCCTGAACTATATCTGCATACTCCTTCAAAGGAATGAAGCGAAAACATCGGGACCAATTCGTACCAGGCTGCGCTCACCAATGAAGCACATAAATCTAAAATATCGTTCCCGCATTCCTCAACCGACACATTTCAATTTAACTGCTTTATTTCTTGCATGTTCAACCAGCTTCTTTCATTTCCGTCCTGCTGGGTATTCCGTTCGACTAAGAATTAATTTCAGAGAGAGATAAAAAAGAAAAAGCTAAATCCTTTCAGGCAATAGCTCACACATTACACAATGATGTCAGTGTCTATTTTCTAAGTACGACTGCCCTCCCCTCCCGGCGTTGTCAGTGCTACTCACGCCGGCGTCCAGGTTGAGCATGGGCCGCTGGTGCTTGGTCGGTCCGTGGTACGTGTTGTGGGGGTACGCTGAGGCCGACACCGACTGTACCGGCGCGTCGGTCGTCCACCACGGCACGCTGACGTTCTCCGTGCTGTGGGTGGAGGGGAAGGGGTCAACTGAGGTCACTGGACGGTCACACAGGGCAGTGCGCGCAAATTATGACGAGAGGTGGACAAATCATCAACCAGTGAATTAATGTCCACTCATTCGTCAGTACTCAGACTCACTCTGCAGGGCCAAGTCGTAGGTAAATTTAGCAATCAGTACTCACTCAGTGAGGGGAAGACAGCCTTATTGTGTACTCACTGTGGGGATGAGTCGCAGGTGTACCCAATACTCACTTTGCCGGTATGAGCCGCCGGTATATACACTCAATACTCACTTTGCCGGTATGAGCCGCCGGTATATACACTCAATGCTCACTTTGCCGGTATGAGCCGCCGGTATATACTCAATACTCACTCGGCGGGTATGAGCCGCCGGTATATACACTCAATACTCACTCGGCGGGTATGAGGCGGGGGTATATACACTCATTACTCACTCTGCGGGTATGAGCCGCGGGTGGACGGGTGACACGTTGCTCAGCCGCACGTCATACCCGGCCGCCACCCCGGCCAGCTGGGAGGACATATTGTAGAGCGCCAGGTGAAGAGCCCCCAGCCGCGACGGGCCGCGCTCCTCGGCGCCGTTGTACAGTGTCGGTACTGGAATGTAGGGGGTGCTGCCGGCGGGGTAAGCTCCCAGCGCGCCGCCGCCGCCCGAGCCACCTGGAACATACGGGGGTAGGGGGCGGTCAGAAAGGGAGAGCATACACGGGAAGAAGCGAGAGGAGGTAATAAGGGAGCATTCGGAACACTTCAGGCGTTAGGTCGTTAGTTTGATGAAACGGTCACGTACTCACACTCGGTATTGGGGCTCGAGGGTGGTGTGGGACACAAGGTAGACATGTATCACATGACAATCAGGGCACAAACCCAATCATAAAAACCCAGCAAACCAAAAACGGCAGGCAGGCATTTCCGGCTTCCCCACACCCGAAACAGAGATGCACACGACCTTCCCCATCAGGTCAGTGGATAAACATCAAACAGCAGGCAGAAGTCATCTGAAAAGGTTAAAATGGATGGTTCGGCGGAAAATCCCAAACAGCAGGCGAAATGCTCCGCAAACACAACCCCCATCGTACCAATCCATCAATGCAGCAGCCCGGAAAGCATGCCAATGGAAGTCACTAAACCCAAATCTCCACAACGTAAAGACATTCCGAGCTGCGCCCTGTCGCGCCGGACAGGTAACCACCCGGCGGCTGAGGGCTCTTCACCCCAGCCCGGCTGAACGGCCGGTAGCTGAATCAGAGCCTCACCGGCCGCCGTCAGAGGGCCACCGGTACCGGCGGCGCGGCGGCTCCGCCAGGCGGCGCTCTCCCGGCGCCCACCGCCCGCCGCCGATACTCGGCACAGACCCTGGCCGGCCGCCGCTGAAGTCGGAGGTCCCGGCGAGGGCTCCCGGGAGTCGGCGCCGTCACAGGGCACACTCGGTGACCCAGCGGGCCGCGGAGCGCCGCTGGTCTCAGGGTGTCCCTGTGTCCCTCGCGCCGCAGTGAGCGGGGTTTATCGAACCCGTGTTTGAGCCCTGATCCGACTCTGTCCTCTGCGTACTGTGTTCGTATCTCGTCCGTCCCATTCCATGGCATCCTCCATTCCATTCGTGCCCGACCTCTGCCCAGAACAAACAACGCCCGTAGAAAACGCATCGAGCATGTTACAGAGAACCCTTCTCAATCAGCGCAGCGCGACCCGCGGCAGAGCGCAACAAACACCATGCACCGATCACCGAGACACCCAAGACTCCCTCTGACGGGAGCGGCAGTCCAGTCTGCACGTCCGGCGTCTCACAGAGGCGACAGACACCGCAGGGAAGTCTGATAGACCGGAAACCGCCGGTCCGTCCAGGAAGTGCGCCCATCCTGAGTCGCGCGGGTGCCTTATCTCAGAGGCGCCGGTGCGGTTCCGTCGGTTCCGTTCCACTGACCACAGCCGCACTGCGGTCGACGTGACACGCGCGGCAGGCTCCCGAGGCCTCTGACACCACCGCGACACGGAAGAAGACCGGAAGACTGGGGCAGGCGCCCGAATCCGCCACCGTGGCCGAGCGCGCGGCGCTCTGACCAGAAGCCGCAGCGGGACGGGAGCGACGAGAGGAACGCGAGGGTCGGAGGGGAGGCATAAATACGGATAAATCTGGGGAGGACCGGGGAGACAGCCCGGCACCGGGGCACGGCGAGGGGAGGGAACAGGACGGGCTAGTGCGTCCTGGGGGGAGGATGTCGCAGGATGACGCTGTCGTCGCTGGAGTCGTCTGAGTCGGACGGCAGAGCTGGAAAACAGAGGGGCCGGCGTTAGAGCGCGGCCCGCACCCCGTCGGACGCCCAATCAGTGTCTGTTATTTACCCACCCAGTCACCTTTCAGGGGAGTTAGTCATCTCACCGGTCTGTCAGATCCTACCCACTTAGTCTCTCATCCCGTCTGTCACCTTCCCAGCCGTCTATCACCTACCCATCTCGTCCGTCATCTCCGACCCACTCGTCATCTCCCCGTCCCGTCTGTCAACATTCCCGAGCGTCCCCGCCCCGCCCCGTCCGTCACCTCTCCAGAGCCCAGACGGAGCGCAGCCGGCCCCGTTCCAAACGGCTCTGTTTGTTATTTCTGGCGAGCGGCGACACAGTTGGTCAGCAGCAGGGCGGCGGAATGGCCCGCTGGCCGCTGCAGCCCGGCGCCACTCCCCGCCCCTGGCCTCCCCAGAGTCACCGGCACCCGTCCAGTCAGCACCGTATCAAAAGGGAAGGGGTACAACAAATATTCACTTCTCTGAGGGAAATTAGTGACATTGTGTATAAGGGCTTTATTATGACGCAGTTGTAGTAGTTTATCTAAATCTGTCCTCACATAACGCAAGTTTTTTTTTTAGATGATCGGCTTGAGTCCTAAAATTCCTAAAGATTTACTTAGTGAATGGGTTCTAGTCTGTGCCTTGCTTCACCACGCGTCTGAAGTTCAGAGTGCGTGCGAGCGTGAGCGTTGGGTGGTGGGGTGGGCACCCAGCCAGGCGGAGCGTTTGTGCGGACACTGCCGGGCGCACAGCCTTGGTGGGCAATCAGATGACGGGCAGCACACATTGGTCGGAACGAGCCCGACAGAGTCGACTGGCCTGGCGGGACATTGCGAAACGACAGCGGCGGACGGGCGGACACAGAAACTGCCGCGGAAAATATCCGTCACTGAAAGGGCTGGAGTAGACGAGAGAGACCAACAAACCCGCTGAAGAATATGGTGAGCAAAAGTTAAGTTGGACTTTGGAAAAACAGCGGAGGCTAGCGTAATTGGAAGAAAAGGAGAGATAAACGAACCTGGGTGCAACAGTGGCACGCTAGTCACCACACTAAAACATTTGCGCGAATGCCCACAACAGGTTAAGTTTGTTCCGTCACCCACAGGCGCAGTTATATTGAAAAGGTTGGGACAGCACAGCCGTTTCCACTTTCCCATCAATAGCCATGACAACATCGCAGCTAAGCGCCAAAGCTCGGGGCGTTGTGTTGTCTCCAAGCCCACAGCGACTGTTGTCCAAACAACATCAGCGGGAGGTCTGAATGACATGGCTGTATTGAGTGAGCCGCTGAGTCACCCCTCATTACCGTTTTCCTTCCCCGCCGAAAACCGGACCCCGGACTGCCTCCCCGGAAACGTGAGCTGACCAATATTTCAGTTTTGCCTGGCCGCATACCACATAGTACTACGGGCACTGCACGCGGCGACACAGACGTAAACCTTGGCAGCCAGAGTGTGAATGAAGCGTGCTCACTGCACAGCATGCTCGTGACAAACGGCTCCACTCCACATTCGGTTACCTAATTTTATCTCGATTACACGATAACACCGACTCAACGATCATAATGAATCACAAATGAATTATGAATTGTAAAAATGATAAAATTTGTCATAAGTGGCTTTCAAAGGAAAGACAAAAATGTGCGTTGGTTTTGCGTCAATATACGCATCGCTTTTTAACTATTCGATATTTCCATCGTTTGAAGACATTCAACCAGGATACAAGTACCGCTATTTCCTCATCCACAAAACAAAAGGAACAATACGGAATACTATGTCCCTTGGAGGAGCCCCGCATGAATCACTATCGGTACTGGCCCAATAACAACTCCCGTTAGCGCTACCTTGCCACGTGCGAGTTTTCTTGGCAAGCAGTGTCACAACAATGAATGCAAAACCACAACAAAGGGGAACCGTCACCAAGGGCCTGGGTAGGTCTGTAGTGACCCGAGACCATTGTCTGTGAATTGAACTGGATTGGACAGACTGGAGTGGGTGGGCGGCTGGACTTTTCTCAGAGCCCCTCCCCGGCCCAGCTGTCTATCGTAAGTTGCTCTCGTACCGCGGGCGGCAACGTGACACCACCCCCACTATCGCGAGCGCACATCTCGCAGCACGCGGAACATTCCACCGACCAGCCTCCGACCACGGCCGGCACTCCGAGTGCACGGCCTCTGAGTCACCGGTTGAGTCAGAGGTCGGCCCGACCGGCCCGGCCGCGCTGGCCGCGCAGTGGCAGTCGCTCCCAGCCCAGCCGTGTCCACCTACATAAAAATACAGCGGCCGTCGGTCTGCCAACAGGTCAGCTCTGGGTCACTGCGACCGGCCCAGACTGCGGAAGGTGCCAGTGCGCCCCGTCTCCTCCCCACGCTGACGGCCCACCACACCCTACCGTGTCGTAGTTGGCAGCGAGTCGCACGTCATGCGAATGCCAGCGGTCGACAGAGGCGACAGTTCGCCCAGCCACCGGCCATGAGTCCGGTCCGCCAAGCTTGAACTCACGGGCCCATCATGAAAGCTTGCCGGACCTCGGGCCTCCTTGGGTCGTGCAGTGCAGCTCGCATGTGACCTCCGCACCCGTCGGACGAGTGTCCAGAGGTCCGCACAAACCGGCAGAAAGCCATATCAACGGGACAATCTAGTCAGGAGATCGACGTAAAGGCAGAGCCTCATTAGGACACAAAACGGGCTACTTGTTCATGTAAATCCGCACAGGGAGCGCTAAACTCGCTATCTCGCCTAGCTGTAACTGGTCGGATCTGGAATACGAACCCACCAACACGATGTCGCGCCAGGAGCTTAGAACACTTCAGCAGCTGTTTGAGACTTCTTACGGAGTCAACCGTACGGTAGATATAAGATAGCCGATAGCCGAATGTTGACCCCATCTCAATCACCAGAGGACCGAACACACAGAGCCTGCCGCCAAGATGTCGGGTTCGAGCGATAACGAGTCTGCGTTCCGACTGCAGCGTGGAGACGGCAAATAGTGGAGGTGGTGTGACCGTTACAAAGTGTTTGACGATGATAATACAAGTCAATAGGCCTATCAGGAAGATCAACTCAGCATGAAAGACGAATGTAACAATGCCTGTGGATTGCAAAACTAATGCGCAGAAAGTATGAGATTCATCAGCCTTCTGCTATAAAATCAAGAATGACCCATGCGACCCAAGGCCATATATAGGAATGACCTCCTCCGGCGAGGGCGTCCAGCGGCCGGATGGCGCAAACGGCAGCTGCAGCTCGATGACAACTGACAAGCTGTCAATTCTCACACATGTGTGGCTTTTAACTTCCAGATAGGTGCTGATGCATTGCTGAAAATGTCTGGCAAGCTGAGCAAGCCTAGCACAACATGACGGTGCCTCCACCGAAAACGTAACCAAGAACGACCTCCATCTCACTGCTGCAAGGTCCATTCACCCCTTCAACGTTGGACAAAACGTGGATCTTCTCTAGTTGATAAGCTCAAATACGACCTCCTCGTTTACAAGAGCATCTGCTCTTGTTGGCGAGCTCATAACAGCCGTCCGCCATACAACAGCCCACCCCACCGAGTGACCAGAGAGCGCTGGTCGTTTGCAACCCTCATCTTCACCGTACCCGGCTCATCAGCTCCACCGCTAACTCGCACAGTGCGTACCCGTGGTCGGTGGCATCACGTGACACAGGGCAGTGAGCGAACACACAGTCACGTGACACGAGGCAATACGCAAACCCACAGTCACGTGACAGCCGGAAACCGGTCGTCAACAGCGGCGCCGCGCGGTCGTGCGGTCGTGCGGTCGTTTCACGCCCGCGCTGGGAGGGGGAGGGGTGGGGAGGGAGAGGGCGGGCTCGTTGCGGCACTTTATAGGTGGGTGGGAAGGTCGCATAGGCCGCAGCTGCTGGCAGCCAATGGTAACGAAAGGTCAGGCCCGGCGGGCGAAACGAATTTACGTATGAACGACTGCGTTGGATGTTTAAACACATTTGAGTTTTATGCTGCGTGCAATATGTAATTTGCGCATAAAATATAAATTTGGTTGGGGTAGTAAAGTGGCATCGCATAAGTTTTCAGCATTTTCTGCACACTTTCGGTCGTAGGCAGGCACCAAGATAACACGGAAGACGCAGAACTCATGAAATGCTTACCAGCTTCATGAGTCCAACAAAGGAAGTTAACAGCCACAACAGGAAACCTAAGCTATCAGCTATATTAGATCAGCTATATAGCTAGTATAGATCAGTTGTTTACTCAGCATTGCGTCAAAATGGCCAATGGAAATGACCATAATAACTGTAGCAATGTCGTGCAAATATACGAAGCTCGTTATCGAATCACCATTGCTCTCATTTCATTGATAGATTACCCTGAGGATAATCCAGAGTAGGCAATAAACGATATTTCTTAGTGATTTGTCCTAATTTGTCACTCAGAGGCGATGACAAAGAGGAGCAATCTATGACTTGGAGACAGCTTGATGTTTCATTGAGAGCTCTCGACAAATACGCTAATTGAATACCTTAGATGCAGTTCGAGCCTCATCATTTTGTGTATATATTAATTTGAAGGCGAGCCCAATTTGGGATAAACTCATCGCAGAGCCAAGCAATTGTTGACGTCTTGAGGCCATTGACCTCAAGATTACCTAATGACCCATTCATCAACTTCCGCCAGGCTTCGCAGTACCCGATCTCACAGTAAATAGTACAACTTGTCAAGAACATAACAGCTAAATCTCAGCCCTGCCGGGCCCATCTGGTTACTAAGAGCCTCACCAGGCACTCTCGGGAAAACGGACCGCCCCTCCGCTCCAGCTCGGCGCTGGGGCCCCGTGCGGCGGCCAGGAGGGCGCGGCAGCCGTCCCCAGGTCCCCAGGCGGCCGGCCGGGAGCGGTATGTTTACATTGACGCCCTGACGAGGCCTCGTCTGCATCCATCCGGACGCTCCTGGAGCGGGGAGGCACGCGGCGCAGCTGCTCTGCAGACACGGCCCGGCCCAGCCCCGGCGCCAGCCCGATAAGCCCCGAAACCCGAGCTGCCCTCGCCGAGCGCGCGCCGGCGCCGTTCTGTGACATTTCCCCGGGGAAAGTAGCGCGGCTCCCAGCCTAATCACCACCGGCGCCGGAAACCAGGCGGGCCGTGCCCGACACTCCCACGGCGCGCCTCGTCATCCTTCACTGAACGCAGCGCAATGGGATGTGGGTAGACAGCGACATCTGTCGGTCGGTCCGACACTGCAACTTGGGGACTGAACACTAGGCAGCACTGGGAGCAGCCCGGGATTACCGCTAGACCGAGTCGACGCAAAGAGCTAACGCTCGCCGTAACCGTGCAGTACTAAGAACCTGACGCTAGCCCGCACTGTTTCTATCGGACCATGCCATGGACACGAAAAAAAGCCTTTATTGAGTACAGCTAAGAAGACCTCCGTGGTCGAATCCTATAATGTCTAAAATTTTGACGTAGTAATGGTTCCAATCCGTGCTAAAGCGTATAACGATGTGCTTATTTTTCGTGTCAGTCGAGGAGCTACGTATCTCAGACTGCGGAAACAAAATGAACTGACCAGTAGGGGCCGGCCCCGTATGGTCACATAGGTCAGACTTTTATCAGCTCCGCTCATGTCAACTCGGGCCACGTAAGTATCAGCTCACAAAACACATCAGCGTTACCGTGTTGTTAGAGGCCAACCCAGGCCAGATCAGGATGTTAGAGATCAGTGTCCTCAGAGGTCAGCCCAGGTCAGGTCAGTGTCGTCAAAGATAAGTCCAGGTCAGTTCAGTCAGACCCCAGCCCACCCCGCGGCCTCCCCGAGTAGCGGGACTGACCGTTGCGGTCGGCGCGGCGCGAGCTGTCGGCAGTACTGGGACTGCCCGGTTCCAGCAGCTGTGGTCGCGGCCGAGGTCGCCGGTTCATCTGGTGCGCTGAGCTCGGGCCCCACGTCTTGCCCTTGACGCCGTCCGCCGGCACTGCGGACACGGGGGCGGAAAGGACGTCAGAGACCAGACACGGACAAACGGACACATACGACGAGCAGGCGAAGAGCGTCTGCGCACGAAGAACAAAAACGGGTAGAGTTATGAACAAATACCGGACATAGTAAAAAAAAATCCCGCCAGGTGCATTAGCGCTCGCTATCATCGCATTCAGACAATACATACAAATACGAAACATATTGGAAAATCACCAAGCATCGCTGACGAATGAAGAAGCACGCAATCAGGACTCACGTCACCGCTCAACGCACCCAAGTCTATCGATCCACCAGTACCCACCCCGTGCCGCTGTCACCACCCCGCTGTCCCACACTCACGTGCAATGGCTCGCAGGGCGGGTGACGGTGAGGCCGGCGGACTCTCGGGGCTGGTCGGGTGCCACGCACTGCCGCCGGCCAGCCGCTCCGACAGCGCGCCCGTGTTTTGTACCGTAAAGTTGTGTCGGAAGTCTGCAGCAGACAGGCCGGGGCACAGGGTTCAGACAAACAGAAGTTGATGGGCACGAGCACGACGTTGTTGCTTATGCCAACGTCGCTTTACATCGTAAATTGTGTTAAGCGTGCCAGCAGAACAGCCCCCAGACAGAAACTGTTAACGTTCGAGAAAGGCCTTCATTAGGTACTCGTGTCCTGTGCAAAATGTCATAAACCCCGTATCCATCCCGTGCCCCCGTCCCTGCTCGCGTGCAGTCTTACCGGACGGGTTGCTAATCTGGTGTCGGCCCTTCAGCTTCGCCCTCTTCCCAAACATCTTGGTCCGTTTGGGCGTCGGCGCCGTCTGTGGCAAATACGGATGGAGCGTAAGATGCGGGATAATAAACACGCATAGTTGCGACTTCACAGTGATAGAGGTCAGGTGCATCACTACAGGCACGCACGAAGATTCATACATAGCTACATTATGGCGACAAAGCAGTTTAAGCACAGTAAGCACACATTACGGATATGACTAAATACGGAATGGCGATAGCTTTGCGGACAAATGAATATCCATATTGGCATTTGTTTGAAATGGGCAGGGCTGTGCCTACGGACACGATTTCGCAGCCCACGAAACCACACTAAACGGTAGCGCCGCGGCCGGCTGGGTATCAGTGAGCCATTTCACAGCGGCAGGAGTAGGAGGAGTAGTAGGAGCCATTTAACAGCGGCGAAGGTGGCGGCGGCGAGTCGTACCTGCTGCTGCTGTTGCTGCTGGACGATGACCTGGATCTCTCGGGTGAGTACATCCAGTTCTCGCTCAGCCACCTCCTGTTCCCGCCGCCGCAGGTCCACTTCCCGACTGCGCAGCTCCTGACGAACACAGCGGGTAAAGGTAGGTCATCGTCAGGATGGGTTTCTTATCCTAAAGGTAAAGATTGATCATGTTATTCCAATGTTCAGCGAGGAAATGTCGCCTCCATCATCCTGACACATGAAAGGGCTCCGCTCGAAAACGTCAGACTATAGACAGCCTCAGTAAGTTAGGTTGTGCCCTGTCACATAAGTTTACGTCAGTCCAATATATTCGGCCGCTCACACAGCAGCCACAGCAGTGCAATGTGGCGCCATCTACCCAGCCCGCACGTCGTCCACTTTCCAACCACTGTCGAACTAAGCAATGACACTACAAAATACCGAACCTGGCCGGTAAGCCTCGACACTGCAGCGCCGCTCTAACCTTTTCCCGATGGCGGATGTCGCGGAGGACCTCGTCGATCTCGGTCTTCCAGTTCTCCTGCATGTTGTAGAAGCTCTCCCGCGGGAAGGACATGAACGCCGACCGGGAGATGTCCTGCAGCTTGACCAGCAGCTGCTCGAACGTCGGGCGCAGGTGCTGGTCCAGGCTCCAGCACGCTGTGGACGTGGGAGCAGTGTCGGTGTATTGCTGATGGGGTGATGGTAGGTCAGTGTGATGGGAGCAACATGGGGTTAGTATAGGTAGGTTAGTGCAATGGAGGAGAGGAGGGTCGGCACACTTCAGTTCAGGCAGGTCTCAATATTACCGACGGACAGAGTGGAGATAGACAGGTAGCATTCCGACTGCAGCTATTACCTGATACTCATATTAACAACAGTCAGAAAAATATATCCCCCCACCCCCACCCAAAAAAAAGAAGCATAAAATATCCGAATTCCGAACATATTTTGCACTATCATTTACAGCCCAACATCTTCGTGATGCAGCCCTACGACCACACTGGCATCCTGAGCCACCTACTAATATGCCAACTATAGCCCAATTAGTGCCTCCTCGCGCGCTACTCACAGAGCATCAGTTCCCGCCAGCCGGCCGGGCAGGTGGACGGCACTGGCAGGCTCAGCTTGTGCGAGGCCACGCCGTACGCCACGGCCAGCGCGTCGATGCCGCGGTAGGGCGTCTCGCCGGTCAGCAGCTCCCACAGCACCACGCCGAAGCTCCACACGTCTCCGGCCTTGGAGAAGGTGCTGAACTCGATGGCCTCGGGCGCCATCCAGGCGTAGGTGCCCGCCTGCGTCATGCGCGTCGTTCGATTGATCTCCCGCGCCAGTCCGAAGTCGGTGATTTTCAGAGTGACGCGGCGAAAATCCTCCGGTGAGTCGAGACGCTCAGAGATGAGCACTGTGGGAGGATAAGAGGGAAGAGTCACGAATCGGTTACCATGTATCCAACAGAGAGACACAGATGTCCTGTGTCTCTCATTCGGATGTGTCCTGTGACAGGACAAGCCGCAATGTGGGCTTACAGGATGCATCTAGGAGACTTAATTACAAATTATGGATAACACGAGTGCCAGACCAAGTCTATTACTTCCATTGCATTGCGTCCACAGCTTTAGTGGTTAAAAGAACGCCGAACATTTATTATCAATTACCGTTTAGGCACAGTATGACAAAAAAGAACAACAAAAACACGAGCAACAGACGAGGTGCGAACTCGTTGCGATAATCTAAGCGATCTCCACGAAAAGCACTTAGTTCAATCGACCAGATATTCCTCGGAGATCCTACTCAGCCCTCCCGAGGACACCCATAGAGGTGGGCAGCCCGTCGCGACCTACTTCCAAAGTGTTCCTCCCTCCTCTCCCCGCCCTCCTCTCGGTCGATCCGCCTGCTCACAGCAGCCCACTGGTGGACAAGCACAGCCCAATAACTGTTTGGCCGGTCCTGACCGTTAGAAGGACGGTCTGACCGTTGGAGGACTTTAGGTCACGATGGGTAGGTCAGATGGGCCCACTGAACTCTATTCTATAGGATTGGCCCCTCCCGGCTCATCCACCACTAGACTGAGAAGTGATATACTGACCGTTGGAGGACTTGAGGTCGCGGTGGATGAGTGAGATGGGCCCCTCGTGGTGCAGGTAGTTCATCCCGGTGGCGATCTGCATGGCCCAGTTGACCAGAACGTGTGGCAGTACCTGTGGAGGCAGAGAGGGAGGGAGCGTCAGTCGCTATCACATAATACACACCTCACCGGGCTAGTAAATGTCACGTCACGTTACACATGATACAAGCCACGCAACACAAGTCACGTCACAAGTCATGTTACAAGTGACTTCACACAAGATAAGTTACAAAGTGTCCCTCCATGTGACATGGCCTGACACGCCAGGCCATATCACAGTCGTTGCAGAAGCTCGGCCATTGGGCGAAGAAGACTGATGGGAGCTCAAAGTTTCATGCAGAGGGACTACAGGACGGTCGACGCTCGACCCAGAGTCCTCGTGGATGACCTCGGTGTCCTAACCACACTGGAGATCGAGAGAGTTGGCTCCTGACCTGACATGACTTGGCACTTTGGCAGCTACTCTACACATTGGGGATAAGGACTGTTGGTGATGACCTGACACGTGACCTCAACCATCTGCCACATTGGGATCAAGGACGTCAGTCTTGATGAGGACACAGCTCATAACATCCTCCACTCGTACATAATGCAATAGGCGCTTGGCACAATCTGATAAACTGGCTTCTGGGCGTCGTTAAGATGCATGCAGTCAACAGCGAACCATTGGGTCACATGAAATTGCGCTGTTTAATGCACCGGCGCATAACGCACTGCTCGTGACCGAAGCACCGTGTCATTTTAAGCGCATGAATAATAGCTGAGGTCAACCCAAGGTGATTCCGTGTGCCAATGTCCGCGCCATTCACTCAGTCCTGTCATTATACTCTGGTCAACAGAGAGCCACAGTACATCACTGCCGTTCGCAAACAACTCATTTTGTTTTCAAAACATGCAGCATTACCGTGTGTATCTAGCGCGGATGAGACGCAATAAGTGACGCCGGGCTTAGCCGCATCCTTCTCAACTAAATCTGATTTAGTTTAGGGATGAGCTGACTGATCAGAGCCGACCAGCAGGCGAGTAAACAACGCTGCCGAGCCGAGAGACCCTCTAGGCCATGCGGGCGCCTGACAGGATCACCCAGGGTGTGAGAGGTCCGAATGTGGCTGATGGCGCGAGTAGCACCGACCCCCAATAGACTATGCCGCCTTACACTTAAAGGAAGCACTCACCCACCTTAAAACTGAGGGGTGCACCCCACACCTTACGTGATTGAGAGGAGCTGACCGACCCACCCCATGAGAGAAACACCGACTCGCTTTTATGGGGAAAGCACCGATGGCTCAATCTAAGCCTGGTTCACAGCTATGCTAAGAAGAGCACCAGCTAACCTCTGGCAAGGGAGCACTGGATACCACCCCCCCCCCCCTAAATCTAGAGCAAATCTACATTATACTGAGAGCGCTAACCCACATACTGAGAGGAGCACTGACCCCCTTATTTTCTTCCCCAACTAACCAGCTGAGAAGAGCATCAATCCACCGATTCACCTCATGTGAGAGGACGCGACAGAGCGATCCACCCTGTGATTATTCCAGACAGCTCACCTTATGCTGTGAGAGGACGCGGCTGAGCGACCCGCCCTGTGCGTACTCCATCACCAGGCACAGGTTGGGCGGGGTGAGTACCAGGCCGCGCAGCGAGACGATGTTGGGGTGGTCCAGCAGCCAGAACAGACGGCCCTCCTGACGCACCTGTGAGAGGGGACCGGGCAGGAAGCACTGTCGTCAGCACCACACACATCTCTCATCGCGCCGCTAGAATAGGACACCGACCGAGCACCAGCGAAGCAGACGGCGGCCATCATAAAGTTCAACATCGGTCAAGAAGGGCGTGGGCATGTCAAGCGTCAATCAAATGTTTGTTCCGAAGACGTTCAAAGCATTTAATCTGCATAATTAATTCGTGTTTTGCGTTAGGAGGGCACTGAGTGGTCGAACTGATTGTTTGAGCATATGTGCTCTATGCCTGTACAAGCTGGAACTTGGAAGTGAGCTCAAGTCCAGCGCGGCTCCTCACATGTCCAATGGTGTTGGACCAGCCGTTGACCCCTCACTTATTCTATTGTGGTGGACCAGTCGTCTCACCTGTCCGATGTTATGGTGTTGGACCAGTCGTTAGCCCCTCACCTGTTCAATGGGTTCAATGGTGGTGGACCAGTCGTTAACCCTCACCTGTTCAATGGTGTTGGACCGGTCGTTAGCCCCTCACCTGTTCAATGGTGGTTGGTGGACCAGTTGTCTCACCTGTTCAATGGTGGTGGACCAGTCGTCCTCGGAGGTCCTCGTGACCGCCTTCACGGCTACCATCTCATCGTGCAGCACGCCCCGGTACACCTGAAACGGACGCCGGCGGTATAGGTAAGCATGCGGCCGTACCGCGCAATGTCACACACACCGGATACCCGAACCAGGCCACGCGTCATACCAGCAGCTGATGGAAGGGGTATTGGTCAGGTAATGTGTGTCAAAAATTTGCTTGTCACGACGCGTTGCTATATGGGACTCAAGTAAAGAAGATCAACATGCGATAAATAAAGTCTTAAGTTGCGAATTCACCACTTTTTTCAATAAACTTTCAGTTCACTTACTTGTCATATTTGCAAGTGAAAATAGTTCACACTTGTAGAGTTTTCAATTTAGCAGAATCAAACGTTGCTGTCCATCTGTTGGGAGTGCGGCGCTATGCAAATGGAGTTCGTTCGTTCCACGAACTCATGCAATCGCCGAGGAAAAACGCCGCTCAACATGCAACCGATGTCCGTTTCATATAGCCGAAAGAAATTGGCCACGTTCACAGCATTGTGTATCGCAAACGAAAACAAACTAACGAAGAATGATATCACCGACGAATGATGTCACTTTCTCGCAGCGAGAGACAATAATTTGCCCAGTGGCGAACAATATTACCCAACAAACAGCCGAAAGGCACGCATCATCCACTCTGTGTGCGTTTAATCAAGCCCGGTCACTAATTTAGTTAATGAGCTAATTTTCGCGGATTAGAGTAGGCCGATTACGAGTCTCGGGGGATCCCGAGGGGAGTCTGAGAGTCGCTCAGCGCAGACTGGCGGCCCCAGCTGCTTATTAAGCGTCCTGGAATCTGTTTGTTGCCCGTCCATCAGCCGATGAGGGTGGTCTCGAGGGAAAGCGTACGGTTCCTGAGCCCTCCCCGGATCCTCTCTGACAAGGGAGCGACATGGAGGAGCAAAGGAGCGCAGAAGGGCTACAGAAGCAAGGTTTAAAGCATTGATATACCAAACCAGCATGGCAGAGAAGTCGTAATAACCAATCACTGTCGGGGGATACCGATACAAATTAATTTACTAAAATAGTTCCACAACAGCGAAAGGAGACAGTGATGCAGTTGCACGGTTCACAGCTAGCTCAGACGCTACCAACATAATGGAAAACTGCCGAACATCGCCCACAACTTTCCTCAGTCCGATTCAGAGTACCATCCGTATTCTCCGCCGCCGGCCTCACCCAATCAACTGCAATGAACGACGGCCAGCCCACATGACGGTCGAGCCGACACTCTCACTGCCCGCAAGGTGTGGCGGACTCCGCAGTCCGCACCACACCCATCCGTGCGTCAGATTCCACACCCATCTTCCCGAGGTCGCCACCGCAACGGCCATTCTCCACGCCCTCACAAGATACCACATCCTCATCCCCGAGCTGAGTCCCCTGTGTCCACAGTCCACAAACCACAGTACACCCTTGAAGTCCATGAGCGTTCAGTCTAACTCTACAGTCCACATTCTGACAGTCTACATCGGCACCCGCGTCCCGATTCCCGCGTCCACACTCCACAATTCACACTCCTAATTCCATCCTCCACACGCCACAGCTCATATCCCACAGCGCACATTCCAAACTCCGCACAGTCCCCACAGCTCCACATCTGCACCCACCTTGCCGAAGCCACCGACGCCGATGATCTCGTCCAGCTGGATGTCGGCGAACTCGATAACTGGCGGGTAGCTGCTGTGTGGCTGCAGCGCGTCGTCCACCGGAGCCACATAGTGAGCCGGGAACACGCCCACCTGAGAGTGGTCAATATAAGGTCAGAAGTCGAGCCGGAATGGGTCACCCAAGGTCACAGATCGAACGGGAAGTCAGCAACATGTCACAGGCCGTAGAGATAGGGGTCAGCATAGGTCATGGGTCGCAGAGGTAGGGTCATGGAAGGGTCATCTCAACCTTGGAGGGGTAAGCTTCAGGGCGCAGACCACCATCTAGCCGTCCCAATTACAGGTCACAAGATACACCGCATGTATGGGTGGTGCCGGATCATGGAGTTGCATGGTGGGAAGCAATCGATGAATTTGGAAACAGTTAACAGCTTACTGCACGTAAAAAGCGCGCAAAAGGGACGTTGAAAGTTTAATCTTACACAGCCGAGGTTCAACCGAGTCGAGTGCAGTAGTCGAGTGTATTAGACTCCGAAGTATAGTCGACTCGGCAGTACAGTAATATAATCCATATCATGGCACCGATTTTCTAGCACCCGGCAGCGATGTTCTATTACAGTAGCTCTGCAGTGCACACGCTGGCGGCGGCCTTTCCGCCACCTCCCAGCTGTGAATGCGACTATCAACTCCCCCCCCCCCCCCCACCCACCCCGCTCTGACGTTGCACGTGACGATATTATGCAGAGGCAATGTTTGAACAACTATTCAGCAATCAGCTGCCACGGTCAAGTAGCTGGTACACAAACACCGTCCTGACGATAGCAGATAAAAGGACGAATTTCTACGAGGCAATAACAAGGCGCTTCCGAGAGGATTACGGCTAACAAAGTGCGCATTGTGGATCATCGACCTTTCACCAGAATACACAAATAAAACGGGACGGTAGTGTGTCGTACCTACTCGTATTTGCCGAATACTCACACCTAGCAGCCGAGTTCAAGTCACGACGTTCCTCACGAGTTACGACCACGCACAAACGGAGAGAAAGCGCCAGACGGACAGACAGACAGACAGACAGACAAACGTAGACAGCCAGACTCGACCGACCCGGCCAATCAACGCCCACACGGCAGCCCATACGAGGCCGGCCCAGGGAAATGGCGGCATGAGATCAACGAAATACAGGCGGTCGCATCAAGAAATGACTTCAACCACTTGGAATATGCTAAGGAATGCAAGGATAAGCGAGAGTAGCACAATCCATACACGATGTAATGCTGAGCGAAGATCATTTGCATGTAGGCACGACCGTGCTGGTATGGGCTGACTGCCAGTATGACATTCCGACCGTGAGTATCCATTGCGCTGAATTCTATTTTATCAGTCTCTTCTCTATTCTATCGTGTTCTTCCCCTCCCCTGTCCTGCCCCCGGTCGCGTACGCAAGAATATCTGGTCAACCCCTCCCGTGAAAAACACATGTGAACACTCTTACGGCCCAACAGCGGTGGATTTCACCCGACCCGGACACTCGCGATTCGCAGCCACTCTGATAACGACGACCGACGGCCGTACGTTTTATTGGCCCCCAATTCGCCGATGGTAGATCAGTCGCCAAGGCTTGGGGCCCCATGTGACTTGACGTATGTTCCGGTCATGAAAATGCATTATCGGTTGTCCAATACAATCGAACGTATCGCGGGGAGGGGAGGGGAGAGGAATGCACACACGTCGAGGATCAGAGGTCACTGCTGGGGACATTTAATCGAGCGTAAAACTGTCACATTGATACGAAGGTCGAATCGTAGAACCAGGCAATCAGGACTTAAGTGGTCAATCGACGTGCTTAAGATGTCAGAGTCGTTTGTATCGTACGTTAGTATTTTGAACCTTTACGGGTCGTATTTGTTTCCAGCAGAATTGCAGTCCAATTACGTTCATTTGTCTCCGGAACAGTTGGTGCAGGTAACGTCAATGTAAAAACGTTGATTTAAACTGACGAGCCCGCTGCTGGCCGGCCTTACACTCTCCCCTCGCCTCCCACTATTCCTCAGTGTAGCAGCCTCAACCTGACTGCCGTGAGCGGCCCGCCACCAGAGACTCCCCGCCACCCTCCCGCGTCACTCACCCTGCCCTCCAGCTTTCCGATCCACCAGTCGGGGTCTCCAGAGATTTTCGAATCGGTGGAGAGCAGTTCGACACTGAGACCCCTGCGGAGGCTGAGTTCATCCTCGCTGCGCCCCTCGTAGTCGTGCAGCACGAGAAGCCGCACGCCCTCTGGCGACGGTGTGGGTGAGCGGCCGCCGCGGGCGCCGGGCCCGCAGCCGTTAGCGCGCGCTGCGGCCGCCGCCGCGCCGCCGGCCGGCTCCATAGGCGGCGGCCGGGCCGAGCGGTTCACAGCCGCCGAGCGCCGGCCCGATCACGGCTGCTGCCGACACACTCGCACCTGACGGGAACACAGAGCCGTGAGCTGAGGTGCTATGGTAATGAGGCACTCGTACAGAGGCATGGTGGTGTGCTGTGATACCGTAAAACGGGGCTATAAGGGACAGGTTTTGACTTTGACAACCTGTCATTCAAAGGTTATTGCTTACACAGGCTTCAAACTTTGTCACTTTTCAGGTCTTGACTAGGTCTGTCTTTTGGCATAATATGCATTTTATTGGTATCATAGATGTATGATTTTTTTATATTTTTGTTACTTGTCCCTTATAGCCCCGCACCGGGGTTTTAAGGGACGAGCACTGTTATGGCCTTTTAAACTCTAGTAGCACCATCAAATGGGCTTTAAGGGACACAGACTATGTTTTTAAAAATGTTTACTGCTTTGCTGTGCAAAATATTTGTTTTTTAAGTGCACATACAATGGATTGGCATCCATCAAAGTTTCCAATGGAGGACGGAAAAGGTAACTTCCTTTTTCAACATAAATACAATAAAGGAAACTCAAATATGGAAACATAATAATGTGTTATTATCAAAACACAAATGATATGAGTACAACCACTTGATAATGAGGCATTCTCCTGCCATTCTGAACTCCAGAACACCATCCACCAGAAGACTGCAGAGAGTCTCTGGCAGCTCCTTGGAGCTGGAGGTGTTTGATATCAGCTCACTCATTGTATTCCTTGACCTCTTTGATTTCCATGATTCCCCTGGTGAGGTATTTGGGTTCTTGGATCTTTTGCACAATGTCTGAGAAGGGGTACACCACAGGACATCCTCTGTCCTCTCCAAGGAATGTGGGATGGCCCGGTTTTCAGGTAGCAGGTGCCTTATTGTGCCTACATGACACTTTTTGGGATCCCAAACTTCTGCTCAGCTACCCTGAAAGGCATCCCTCTGTTCACTGCATCCACAGCTTTCATGATTACATCTTTCGAATATGTTTTCCTTGTTTTAACTCCTCGCTTTGACTGGTAATGACGGTGTCCCTTAAAGCCCCGTTTTGACATCAAAATCTACCTGAAACAGAAAAAAGCGGAAATGAGGATGAGGCAAGGAGGGTACATGGATGTAATTTCATGGGCATCTTCAGGATACATGTGGTCATTGACTATACCTTTGTGAAGGTCCCAGAGTCCGTGGTTGTGTTTCCACAAGCAAAGTTTTCGGGGTTACAATTTTGTTGCGAATTTGGCACTTTTTTCAAAAGCTCCTAGCATGAGAACAACAACAAGCATCTTGGAAATGGTGATGTGGCATGCATGTCCAGACATCAGTGTTTCATATTATATATCTATTTCCTTTTGTTTCTCGTTCACTGTATTACCCAGATCCCTCAAAACTTTTTCCCGAAATTTGTCCCCTATAACCCCACTGTCCCTTATAGCCCCGTTTTACGGTACTGAGACCAACAGCAGGCAGCAATCCTTAGGGCCCTATGCTTGTGATGCAGTGCAAAGTTCAAATCCACTTAAGCGAACTCACAAAATTTGGCAAACATGCTGAATTTGTCTATTGTTAGTAAGCTGACTAGCATGTAATGTTGATGATACCTTTGGCATTACTAGTTAAAAGTAAATAAGTCAAGGAACAACTCTGGCATGAATAAGAATGTTGAAGCCCATACCTGCACTGAGATTATTATGGCAGTGCTGGACTCCATCCAGGGAACTGATCACCAGAATGTTTTGTCAGGGAAGAATGAGCACCCTGAAAGGAATGAAAGATACATCAGTGAGATAACAATAGTCAAAAACAAAAACAAGCAAACACACCTATAACTCTACTTTATTTATTGTAATGTAAAAAATAATGCAATTGAAAAGGATGTAACCAAACACAATTTTGATTGATGTTGATTTGTAGTCTGCTGGTGCTTTTCTAGTGTTTGATTTGAAGTTTGTACTAGAAGTCAGGGTATCATAAACCCAACTGACTCAAACCACAACATGTGATACAAATCATCAAGAGCATATTAAAAACAAAATGAAGCTGCAGTAGAAGAACATTCAGCAAACAAATAAGAGACCATAGGCACCAAAAACACCAATTTGTCCACAGGGATCACTTGCTTGTTGCCTTTGGTAGTTATTTAGCATTCATGAAAAAGCAGCAAAGATGAATGCCCAGAAGATTTCCATGAGACTAACATGACCTCTACCAAAATCAGAAAAGGTGTTCCTAAAATTAGAGCAAAAATGTGCTTACATCCTGTTTATGAAATGGGATTCACTTACATAAAACAAGTGTGCCAGTTTTATAACATGTAACTGGAGCAATGAGGAAATAACATCACTGCAAGAAAATAACATGACAAAAAATCAAATAACTTTTAACTCAAATTGGCATATCATGAGACTAAATAGATGACTTTGACATAAGGACAAGGATGGCATCGCTAAAAAACTGCATGCATAAAAGAGTAGACAAAAGAATGCTTAGATAAGATGCATTTTAAGCACTAACAACAATTACAAGCAATAAAGTGTGGTTAATTAAATCACCTAAAGCTTTACAAACACTTTTTATATTTTTAGAGCACCTCACTTCAGGTGCTTCTGAAGAATAAGTAGGACAAAAACATTAATGTACCTGCCTGTAATAAGCAAGAGCCTTAAATAAAAATGGGTCAATGTTTTCATGATTGGCTTTCAAAATTAAGCAGGTAAGCCAACTCAGTCATGTTACAGAATATAGCTACCTACTTATATGACAGATGACACTGTTCAGTTTCAGTTATTGATTAATAACAGTACATAATTTCATCATGAAATTTTCATGTTCTTTCACTGCCAGAAGCCTGCCGCAAATATGGAAATATCAGGAAAAATTGCCTGCACAAAAGGTACGTGATCACTGATCATGCAGCATCCTCGAAAGCACACAAGAGACTGAACCGAAATTAACTTGTAAAAATATCATTGAAATGCACTTGAACACATTGATGTGGTTAATCTAGAAGCTACAAAATCGTATCAAAGCATAAAACAAACACAAATTAACATAAAAATTAAATCAGTCGGTGACACACCAGGGAAATAAGCTAAAATTAGAGTGCTCTATTTATTGCTCCCGCTACTTCACCGTCTCCCATAGGGTCCTGTGTTGAGCTGGTGTCGAGGCTCTAAAAATGACGCCGATTTTTGCACCCTTCTCACGAAAATCGCTCGGACCGCCTGGAAACCAATTGTTCCGCTCTAAAAATTTCATGATCGACGGGAAAATGAATGAGGAAAAGATTGGTCCTGAAATAATTCTGAACTCCCTGTAGAACATATCGAAATATGGCTGCAAACTAGGAGCATGTCAAAATCGACAAAACAATACAAATAAACTTACCGGGATTTTTTTATTTTCCATGCATCTGTGTATGAAATGAGTCGGTTTTTCGGAAAGATCATCTTCTGTTTAATTAATAATTCCACAATTGCAATCGAGAAAAAAAAAACATTTCCGCTGTGACAGCAGTTTTGGCATTGTGCCAGTAGTGTGGCGTTCGCGGTGCTGCGTGGTCGTCGGGACGGAGTTGTGAGTATTTTCGGTGTTTTAAATGGTTGATGGCCATTTGAACCAGCTTCATATTATTTCCTACACATTTTTGCATCAAATTATTGCTTTGAAAGACCATTGAAACCCCTTATCTCTTCATGAAACACGATCATATTCATCGTCGACGAAAATGGCGCGGGACTCCATGTGCATTCCGATCGAAATAAATCGTAAATTAAATAATATTCGATGATAAGTATCATATTCTAGTGACACATTTTCATAAAATAAGGCATAAACTTTGCAAGGAAGTCAACATTGGATAATTGGATTCTTATTTTGCTCACATATCCTTGTAGTAGTCAAATGGCTCAATTGTTAGATAGATGTAAGTATATGTTTTGGCTTGATGTTTGCTGTGAAACCACCCAGCCACTTGCAGGTTGAGTGATTTTCTGATAATTACCTGATAATCATTTCTCCTTTTCCTTAAAAGAAACTAAAATTCCTTTCAAAGTAATCCATTTTAAGGAATGGCGGCTTGCTCATTGGCATTTCATGTTCTTGTTTTGTTATTGCTGGCAGTATTTTGATACAATAATGCAATATGAATTTTTTGCAATAATAAAACCTAAGACAAACTCAGTTAATGCGTCAATCAAACACCCAACAGAAAGATTGTGAGTCCTTGTAATGTGAAGCATAATATTCTATGAATGTGTTATATAGAATATGCCAAATATTAAATTAATTATTATTTGATACTGATAGCTGAGCAGGTGAATTATGCCACAATATAATTTCATTTTCTGGTTTTGAAATAGCCGGCAGTATTTTACTTCAACAAATGTAATATACATGGAATACATGTTGTTATGTTACCTATGTTAAAAGTTTAATAACAGCCAACAGAAGGAGCTGTTTCAGCAGATAATGTTTGTACCTTATGCATTACCTTTCTTTTCTGCAGGGCCATGCTTCCGCTGGGTGGTCGACATTTGCCTCCTGAAGAAGTTGAGCAACATGAAGACCACCAGATGAGGTGTCTGCAGTTCATGTGGAACTCTGCAGACTACAAGTGTTATGCCAACCACAACCAAAGTGCTGTGATCATGGAGGCATGAACCTCATGACAACACTTCAGATTTGCAGTTGAACCAAAGTGTGATTCAAACCACCTGTGGCATCTCACTCAATGTGTGAACAGTGTGATTATTGTGCAGTGTTCAGCTGCAACTAAGACATTTTTTAGTGACTTGTTTGCAATTAGCCACCAAAAGCATTTTTGGGCTGGCTGCTGTAATTTGTTGTGCACACTGCACTGCACAATAGTGGTAGTGTTTTGTCACTTGTCAAGTTGTCAGTTGTGCATGTTGCATGTTTCTCTTCCCTCGGCCCTCATTATCAGTTAAGTGGTGAATTGGCATCACTCAGTCTCCCCAGATCTCCATTAGGCATTAACTGTCTGTCAACCACCTAACTTGAGATGGTATTTGCTAATAGTGTCAGAAAAGAAGTGATTGTAGACATTTTTAGGAATATGAGCTCCGTTTCATGCGTGTTCCAGTGGTCATTTTGTCACATGTCCCATAGTGTAATAAATGGAAACTGTTGTTCCCTTTTGAAGGTACTCGCGGATGCAGAAAGCGTTGGGCCTAATTATTAAACGCACCCTCCTATCAGCGACGCACGAAATCGACAAATATCATCCTTTTTAGAACAGGAGGAAACGAAAACTTGTGAACATAGCTGTACCTACAACAGTGCATAAGGAATTGAAATTCTGGGAGTTTTTGAAATTCGGAGAAACTCAAGTTGTCGACAGGTATGCCCCCGCCCCCCTTGCACGTCAAAGACCGCCTAAAAAACAAACGCCTACAAATGAAGGCATTATTCGTATGTTCGTTGTAATTGCAGCAGCCTGGCAACATGTATTGCGGTCCGATGGCGAATTACACTCGTGCTCAAAAACTGCCGGTAACTGCCAATGCACTTAGGTCATAGGTGAGGAGAGGAAGGGTTATGTCATATATCAACATCATAGAAATGGCTTCATCTGAGCTGTGCCTATTGTACATAATTCAACCAATATGTGCATTTCGTTTCTTGCAATCTACTCATGCTTTCACTCCAGCTTCAGAGTAATCATCCCATATGGTACGTCTTAAGATATTGATTTCTATGGCGGTTTGCAATTACTAGCCACGTCTCACCTCAGTTTGGTGGCCCCGCATCGGCCCACTCGGCCGCTCTAAAATTGACTTACGGAGGAGGATGGTGGCTTTTATTTTAGCTTCTCCGCCGACTGCGGGGAGCGCCGTCGCCGAGGTAGGAGCAATAATTAGCTTATGTTTGGGACTTATTTCCACGCTTAATTAACATTTTAATGTTATTTTAATTAATTCATGTTAATCTTTGACGCATTCTCTTTCTATTGATACCATCCACCGGTCTGAGAATTACTGCCTTGCTGCGTAAGGGCCGATAAAAGATCACGCTTTTAGGGGTATCTCTTCAACATGGGGCAGGAGCAATAAATAGAGCGCTCTAATTTTAGCTTATTTCCCTGGTATGTCACCAACTGAAATAGTTGCACAGGTTGTTGAGTTGCGATGTTTTAATTTACAGCTGCCTTCGGCAAAGAACAAGAGCCCACAACATACCTCAATGCATCAAACAATAACCACAGTGATATAAAACAAGTTTAATAATGTTTGTATCAAGAGGTAGTGGAAATTCTATAATTTAAATGGCATAAATAATCACGACATCAATCTCGCCAATCGCGCCGCACTCCCACGACAATAACATTGTTAATGCACAGTCCGCACACATATTTCCAAAGCTCCATCTATGTTCATACATATTTTACATGCTAAACATTATATAACAATGCAATTTATTCAATAAAAAGCATCGATTTCCCCACAATACCTGAATATCGGCACATCTGCGGCCACCACCTCCCTGTCTTTCGAAGACGACATCCATAAGCCTGCAACAAATCAGTTACCCACAAGGATGGTGATTTAGTATAAAATAGATAGAATACTGTAGTATGCACTTAAAATGAAAAATATAAGTTTAAGCTCAATTCATTTAAAATTGATTGCTGCTAACATATTGAATCAATTGCTAAATGCATAATATTTTTTTACAATAAAAAATGTCGAATTACACTGGCGAGGCATTTTAGCTAGAATGATTTCTAGTAGTATAAACAGGAACAAATTTAGTGGATCAATAGCTGTGGTGTTTCAAGCAAAAAAATTGTGAGATAGATCCCTTATGATTGCTCTTCCATTTTTTGGAATCATCATTGTGTTATTATGTGCAGAGTTTCCTGAAATTACCGCATCAAAAAGCACCAATATCCTAGATGCTCTCTACTAAATCCTCAGAATCCGCGCCTGTGTTTTGGTCACGTGACTATTGCACTCCGATCAGCTGTTCGTCATAAGGAAGTTGGAACGAATCTGACGCAGACAATCGTCGTGTTGCTAATATCATCGAATATCTCAATAAATGCCATTTGTTTTTGCGTATTTCCGGAGGGATGACCGGATTGTCAATGCATTAGAAGTGCTAAATGGTTGATTTTGTTTTTACATTGCTGAGTGTACAGGGAAACTGCTGAACTTGCATTGAGCAAGTTGAAGTATCAGCAAGGATAAAGAGAAGTTGAAGTGTGCCTACTTTTTCATTCGATTCCAATAGATCATTTTGATCGAGCTTATGGATGCCATGCTTGTTGGATTTTCTGCATGACATGCACATTAGTGGTGAAGATAGCACTGCAATAAAAATGCGGTCAACAGTTGAGTAGGTACCTACCTGGAACCCGTGGCCTGGTACTTACCGAAACTACCTACTCTCATGTTGAGCCATGCTTGGATTTATTACTAGACAGCTAATAAGACAAGAAGTGGGCTTGTATTTTACTTGAAGTAAGAAGCTACAGCAAGACATGACATCCCAAAGTATTGAAATCTTCAGACATGTGTTGTGGACGTCAGTCACTGGAGGGTGGTTCTATGATCCGCATCAAAATGTTATTATTAACACAATTCAGCTCTACTTTTGGATTTTGTTACTATGTGCACCATTTCTTATTACAATGGTAAGTTCATGCACCTTTATTTGTTATCATGCTTTTGCAGATTGTTACAGCAGTTACATATATTTTATTTCAATACTAATTAGGTAGTTTATTTAGTACCTAGATGGCTATTTCAGGCTAGCCATTACATTGTATGTGTGTGCAATGTATAATGTTATTCTTTTCTTAAGGAAGGAGGGGAAGTAATGATCAAATTCATGAAGATCAATTTTTGGTGTTAATAGTTAGAAAATGACCTCTTAACTATTTTGTGGAAATTTGTTGGTGATACCAACACTATGCTATATTTAAGAACGACATCCTTACTTTTCAGGTCTGCAATGTTATAAATTTACATACAGTGTCTGATCATAAAATGGTCACTTTGATTCTATCTGCTGTACTGCTTACAAGCTGGTTACCTATTGGATTAATGCACTCACTAATAGAGAGTACAATCCTAAATAGATGATGCCACGAAAAGTGAATAATATTTCCACGGGAAAACAGTACCTTACCATGCTGTCAAATTTCCCTGAACCAGCAATGTAATGTTTTTCAGTATTCATCAAGATCCACAACAATCTGGGCCATCTATTGTACCTGTGTCTTCATTATATTCAGTGTCATCAAGTTCATCAACTACCAGCTGCACAAAATGTATGACACATCAGAGTATGTTGAAGAAAAGGGAGAGCCTGAACCATCCACTGACAAAGAAAAAGCAAGGTGGGCAATAATGGGAACAGAAAAAATGATAGTTATCTTGCATGTGCATCTGACTTATCATTGCTAAATACAAGCTTATGTACTATATTAGCATATGTAAATGAACTATGCAATAGATAATGCAATAGTTGCACTTAAAATGTGGCTAGCTCATCTCTTTATGGATAATGCATGGACATGTGTGAAACATATGCAGTCTGGTGCAAATAATCATAACTTTTAGGTAATGGAGAAAAATAACCCTGAAAAATGATAAACAAAAATCATGGGTAGATAAAGATAGACCCACCCATCTAAATCGGGTTCCCAGCCACCAACACCCACTCCATATCACTGATGCTCCCTGCATTGTATTCTTTGTAATTTGTATCCCTCCTTTTTTAGTGGCCTCAACTTACGTTATTGACCTCGTGATTTGTATCCCTCGTATGACCTCCGTTCTGGCCCGGTGCGCCTCCAGCGGCGCCGCGGACAGTATTGAGCTCTCCGTGCTGGAGGGCGCCCGGTCGGGACCGACGGCCGACACTCCTCCAGTGGACTGCAGCTCACGGAACTCTGCGCACGAGCTGGGCGCGGCACAGTCGCCCACCAGTCGCCGGCCGCACCCGGCCACAGTCAGCCAGACGTACGGCGCGGAGACCATCGGTGAGAAGAGGGAGAGGGAGGGGAGGAGAGGAATGGGGAAGGAATTGATGGTTGAGAGAAAGACAGGAGAGGAGAGAGAGGGAGACATTTCAATGAAGCCTCTTCTCTGTCGATATACTCATGATTGATTATATTGGCAGGTGTGTAATTCCTCTTGTCCGTGTTTTCCGCGTGTTTCATTGTGTGCTTGTCCATGTGTCTGTGCTATAAGGCCTGCTTGCTTCCTAACGTGCTCCTGTGCGTCTGTCTTCCGTCGCATCTGGACGCGTTTCTGTATGTCCCTGTCACCAGATCTGCACGCTGACGTGCACCAGATGGAGGGCGGTCTCTCCGTGCCGCGGGAGGTGTCTGCCAGCCAGCGGATACAGCACCGGCTCCGTTCGCCGACCAGTATCGCAGGTACGAGACAGTGTCCCGCGAGGTACGAGCTGGTAGCACAGGGCGTATTTACCCTGTAACTCTCGCCACCTTCCCGTCTGCTGGTCTTTGTAGTGTGGGCATGTGTGAAATCCACTCGTATACGGACCACGGTGAGCGCAGGAGCTTGTCGCGGATATAAAAGGCACTTAACATAACCGAACATGTAGGGCTTCATTTTTTGCCTTATGTGGCTTCATTCGACATCGATCGCTCTTCGCCAATTGAATATATGGGGATCACGTCACCATGTGCGATAAAGATCCGAGATGTAGTGCTCCAGGCCAACTATTTATTGAAGAGGTGTCATGAGTGATGTATTGTACGCATGCTGCGCCGTTTGCAGACCACCCGATTGATCTCATCTCGGAGCTTCCTGAGGACAAGCTGGAGCAGGACCACACCAACCTGGCCCGGCTGTCTGACCAGGTGAGACCGTCAGAACCAGACATATTTTACAGCCCATCCGGGGCAGTCCGGGCTATGGGAATATTTAGATGCCAAAGGTTAACGTACCTAAAAGAGCGGCGTCTGTTATACTCGACGACTTTTACTACTTGCGGCCATTCTCACAATCCGCAGAATCTCCATATATCGAGCGCTCGAGGGACTCGAACCCGGGCTCTCACCCCCGGAAATCCAACGCTCTGCCAACTGAGCTACGGGACTGACAAACGTAAGCCAAGGATAGCTCAGATCGAAGACTATGTCTTCACTGTCAGTCGGTCGGAAATCATACCAACGTACTGGGAGGTCATAAGAAGGAATGAGGAGGGTCATACCCTCCCTTAAATCCGTTCACAGACGTCCGGCGGTGACCACATGCCGTCCAGTCTGTCTCTCGGCCTGGTGACTCCCTCGGAGGTGGAGCATATTCGAGAGTCGGGCATCTTCGACCTGCCGGCGCTACTCTCGGCCGTTCGCGAGCGAGGTGAGACGGGGGAAGTATGATTCAGAGACAGTAGATTAACTATTATCAATGAGAGTGAGATGAGTCATCGGATGTTGCGTGAACCATGATTCAGCTATGTGCTACTATCGGGAAATGGGTAGCTGGCCGTCATCGAGGAGCTATCGGGGGTATCGGAGATCTTTGGGGTAGGATGTCCGAGAGATGAATCATTTTCAACTGACGTGGGAATGAAAGAGATACGCTGAATAGTATTCTGAAGTGAGCATATCCCAATCATTGCGGCTTGTCCATAGGTATGCCATTTGTCAGCGAAACTCCATGTTCACAAACGATCAGCGAAATGATTGGTAGGAGACGATAGGATAGTACCTCTTGAAGTGACCGATAAAAATAACGTCATTGCCATAAGAATATGGAATTGCTAATTGTTGCCCATAATTCACGAGTCATTGGATATTCGAGCCACGGCCCAGCTTTGACCATTGCAAGTGCCTTACCCGCCATTCCCCGTGTCTGTCTGTCTCTGTGTGTCGGTATTGCCGCCCTAACCGTCCATCTCCCGTGCCCCCAGTCCAAAACACGATGCCGTCGGGGTATTTCCGTCGCACCCTGTCCGTGTCGGACACGACGGCGGCTCGCCAGGCCGACCAGCTGGCCCTCGGCCACTCGCTGGTCGAGCTGCGACACTCGCGACCCGGGCCCGGATTCTCGCTGCCGCCGCCGCAGCCGCCGGCGCGATACCCGCAGACTGAGGTTAGTGCAGTGCAGGAGGCTGGCTTCCCCGCCGTGCCACCGACTCGCTGGCCAAAGGCAGAAATATGTATAGTTGAAAACTACTTGAAAACATAGTGACCATTGACTGGGCTCTGTCGTTTGCTCGTACTCGTGTTTGTAACGTGAACCTTTGGTGATCTGTACCCGCCCGTTTTCTTCAGCATCTAACCGACTCCGTCCGCGTCCCCAGGTGCTGCCGCAGGGCCGCTCGGAGGCCGCCGATGCCGACCAGAGCGGCAGCGAGGACGAGGCGCGCGGCAGCGACTCGCCGCTGCTCGGAGACCAGTGTGACGGGGGTGAGTGGACGCGCTCCGCCGCCGGAGCCGGAGCCGGAGCCGCTGCCTCCCGGAGTCCCAGCCGGGCCGAGCCGGAGGAGGATGACGTCAGTCTGCACAGCCTCACCGGGGTGGATCGGCTCTTCTGCGGTGAGTGGGCGGACGGGGACGAGAATGAGTGGTGCTACAGGGAAAAGGTGGCTGTACTCGATAGTGTTGTCTGTTGGACAGTTTGTATTGCTCGGCGTTGCCTTGAAAAACTATAAGGATAACAGTAATAAAGAGATGCCGTCAAAGAATATGGCATTCGGCCTATGGAATGCAGATTAGTTTCCATGCAGTCCTATGGAAACTAAACTAGGTTTTCTCGAAGTGTAGAGACTGTCTCCATTGAATGAAAGATCAATCGGGATGGTACCGTGGTGTCTTACAGTCAGTTAGATGAGCTGCCGACCTCCGTCTGACCTCTGACCTGCCCTGACCGACAGATGAGCGGGAATCGGACGGCCCGGTTATGTCGACCGCGGAGCAGGGAGCCGTGCCCAAGGACAGGTCCCATCGGTCGCGTGCGTACGCTGGTAAGTCACCTGCTCACAGTAGCGCTAAATGTATGGTCCGAAATAACCGGCAGTAGAACGTGTGTCTGTTATCAAATGCACACACCTGCCTAGCGGGCCTCATTTCAACAATGGTGCTGATTCTAAACACGGGGGGACTTTGAGATACTACTAGCACCGGAAGTTTGTTGATGAACAGACTTCTTGTCGGCTTCCTAATGTTGTGATACAGGGGTGATACCCCGTGTGATACTGATACCGGGTTATCGTAAGCGGTAGTTTCCGGGGTAGTGTGTGTTACGTCACCCCTGTAATGTATCTATGTTCAGAATCCTGCCGGTCGGACTGTGGTCGGCAGACGACCCCACCCCCTGTGTGATGTGGTCTATGCATGCGTGTGTGACGTCACCCCTGTGTGTCGCTGTGTGTTTCCTCAGAGGCCGGCCGCTCGGACTTTGGTCGGGTGCAGCTGTGACGTTAACCCTGTGTAATGTCATCTGTGCGTGTGTGACGTCACTCCTGTGTCTCTCCGTGTGTTTCCTCAGAGGCCGGCCGCTCGGACTCGGGTCGGGAGAGGCGCCACGGAGGACACCACGGCGCCAGGTCACGGGACGGCCTCAGAGGTGGGTGGATGGAAATGGGCGTTTGGTCATCAAAAACACCTGAACGTGATATTCAGTGCATCGGTGAACCAAGTGGTAGTAAAACTCATCAGATGTAAACTATGATTATTGATTAAGCTGTTCCGCCATATGCTTATGTTTTGACGTTTCCAACACACTTTTGCTGTCTGTAATCTGTCAAAGCAGAAGCTATGTTAGATACCCGCCTGTATCTTATCTGATTTGATAATTATCTATCCTTATTTATTCCGGGTCTGTAGGTTTTCCCACCAACAGGAGCTGCTGTCACATTACGTTTTATTTACACCCCTCTCACCACCCCCAGGCTCGTTGGGGAGCCGGCAGCGCCGCTCGTCGAGTCCCCGTCGGGTGTGTCGCCGCCGACGGCCCGCCGGTACCGACGACATGCTGCCGGCGCAGAGCAGCGTCATGCTCTCGGCGGCCGCCGGCGGCACCCACCTGGCCACCTCGCATGACGATACTACAGAGGGGGCCGTGCATTACTTTCAGGTAAGTGGGGAGGGGGAGGGCTGGCTGTGTTGCGGCAGGACAGGGTTGGGTAGGATCAGGGTCGTTAGGGGCTAGTTGGGCGCTGATGTGATGAGAAACTGCACCATCTCCACTAACGAATCTTCGCTCGGTGCTTCAGCCTTCGCTAGCTAGGACATTTTTAGTGGTGGCTGGTGTATTGAATGATGTTTTAAACTGTTCAGGCGTGCTGTATGTCGAACTTTACCTTCTTCGCTTTGTATTGAAAAACGCTGAAATGTCTAGATATCGTGTTGATCAGTGTGATGGGCGGCTCCTTTCCTGACTGGCAGGCTGCTGCCAGTACCGTGCCGTCCTGTCCTCAGTCCTTCGTTCGGTCTCCGTGTGCCAGCGTGGGGCGCCGGCTGTACCGCTATGGATCCGTCCTCCCGTTCATTCCCTTTCCTTTGCTCCGCTTACTGTCGACGGAATCTCCTGACAAGGTGAGACGAGTGCATGTTGGTAGGCTAGGTTATAAATGCGTGGCCACATATTTAGCCTGCCAGTCAAGGCCTCAAAGGATTAATTGGGTACAAGATACGTGACTGGCATTAACAAGCCGTTAATTGTATTGGGCTTTGTGGCTAGTATTCATTTTAGAAGGGGGCTGCCACGCGCCTCTCCACTGCTCCCGACTCCCTGTCTCCCCTGCCGACCACTCACAACGAGTTCTGTCGGTGCGTCCCCCCTTCCTCTAACTCCCTGTCTCTCCATTCCTCCCCAGGACGAGTTCGGCCACTGGCTGGCCTACACGTTCGACGGCAGGGGCGTGGGCGTGGCGGCGGCGGCGGCCAGCCCGGTGGCCGCGGACAGCGACTGGTCCGTCCACTCGGCGCTGCTCGACTCGGCCGGACTGAAACTGGCGGCGGCGGCTGCCGGCGGAGCGGCCGGCGCGGCCCTCGACTGCGGTCCGGCGGGCGACGGCGGCGACCCGGGCGGCCCGCTGCTGCACTACCTGCACTCCAGCCTGGGCCTGGATACGGCGGCGCCGTCCAGTCCGCCGCTGCCGCCCAAACACCACTACCGGCTACACGTGAGTGTGGCTTCATCTCTCCCCCCTCCGCCCAGTCACAGAGGCTGGGCCGATATTGCTCGTTGTTTTCTTAGAAGCTATGTCATTGTGAAAGATTTATGCAATGGTCGGATTCTCGTAATGATAATTATTTAAAGTTTTCCACTGCAGCTCAAGTTGTCCAATCGCTTGCTCCCTTTTTGCTGCTCCGTCGTTTTCTGTGGCGACTTATATTTTGTTCAGATTATTATTTCAATGTGAGTTCGCTAGGATACTGCGCCCATTTGCCCGTCTATTAGATGTATCGGGTGTTCAATCGCGCGTTTGCCGCTCCGTGTTCCCAGGTGGGCGGCGCGGTCTGGCTCAAGGTGCGGTTCGATCGTCTGGCGCTGTTGGCACTACTCGACCGCAACGTCACCCGGCTGGAGAACCTGCTGTCGGTGCTGCTGGCGCTGCTGACGTCCCTGCTGGCCGCCGCGCTCCTCCACACAGACTTCTACGACGACCTGGGCGTCTTCTTCTTCAGCTTCGCCGTGGCCTCCAGCCTGTACTCGCTGGTGAAGAGCGTGCAGCCGGACGCGGCGTCGCCGACGCACGGTCATAACCGTCTGGTGGCGTTCGGTCGGCCGCTGTACTTCTGTCTGCTCACCGGCCTCACGCTGCTGCTGCTCAGGTGGCGCGCAGACGGCGGAGGGACTCAGTCCGACACCGCCGGGCTGCGGCTGTACGGTCTGCGACTGACTGCCGCGCCGATCCTGGAGACGGCGCTGCAGCTGCTGCGCTACCTGCTGCTGCTGCTGCCGCTGCTGCACACGGCCGGCCTGCTGCCCCAGGTGGACACATTCGCCATGTACCTGCTGGAGCAGTTCGACATCCACCTGTTCGGCGGCACGGCCTGCACCAGTCTGCCGGCGGCCGTGTATGCCGCCGCGCGCAGCCTGCTCGCTGTGGCCGCGCTGTATGGGTTCGCGTACGGCGGGCTGCGGGAGAACGGTGACGAGCCGACGGCGCAGCACATCCTGTTCAGCATCTTCTGCGGGCTGCTGGTGGCGCTCAGCTACCATCTGAGCCGCAGCACCAGCGACCCGCAGCTGCTGGTCAGGGTTCTCAGGTGAGAAAGCAGTCAGCAAGCACCAGTTATCTGTAGAGAGTGGTGAGTTAAGTCAGTTACAGGTGGATGTTTATGGTGGAGGGGCCCAAACCAAGCTGGTCAATTTCACACTGTAATATTTCTGTAATAGTTCTTCATCGCTGGTCTTTTCTGCACCTGAAACTCCACGTCCCACACCGCGTTCATTGTCCGTAACACCAGTCGACCACTATGTCGGTTTTCCTTTCGTGTTAACCCCGGCCGGGGTCTGACACTGTGTCCTACGCTGTCGGCAGTCGGTATCTACGTCAGGAGCTGGAGGAGGAGCCGCCGCGGACTGGAGACACCCCCGAGGAGCCCGTCGATCCTCTCCCCGAGAAGCTGCTGCAGACGGCGCGTGTTCGACTGAAGTCGGACGGCCTGGCGTGCACCATCATCGGCGTCATGGTGTTCGCCGTCCACTGCAGCACGGTCAGTGGCTAGGGACGGGGACGACCTGGGATAAAGATGGTAGTATCATAATCAGTGACTGGGGCACAGGGACTAGGTTCCAGCTGGGCTAGGTTCATTGGCTGGACATGAAGTCACGAGAGATAGGTGTGGCGGTTGCTGAGGACAGACGTGTTAGGTGAAATAGGAGTGGCAGCTAGCAGCACGTTCAAATCGTTAGGGATAGGTTAGACTGCTGCAGTGTTTGTTCATCGGCGCGTATGGTCCATCGGCGATGTTGCTTCGCTGCCGGCCATCGCCGTCGTACCCTGCCCTGCCGCTGACTGCTGGCCTCCCTTACCCGTCAGGTGTTCTCTGCGCTGGGCCCGGAGCTGCAGCTGGCATTGTGGTCCCTCCCAATCGTCACCGGCCTGCTCGTACACTACCTGATACCTCAGCTGCGAAAACAAGTCCCCTGGCTGTGCGTGGCGCACCCGATCCTGCGCGCCGCCGAGTACCGACAGTTCGAGGTGACGGAGCCGGCGCGTATCACATGGTTCGAGAGGCTCTACGTGTGGCTGTGCTCACTGGAGAGGAACGTGCTCTATCCTCTGGTGGTGCTAAGTGCACTGACCGTGGAGAGCCCGCGTCTGGTGGACAAGTTCGGTCTCGAGTGGGCCACCCTGCTGGTGGTGGTGTGTGGTTTGAAGTGTCTCCGTGCTGCCTATACGGACACCAGCTACACGTACCTCGTGCTCGTCTTCACGCTGCTGCTCTTCAGGATGGACTGGGCGGCGGCGTCAGAGACCATGCTGGTCGACCTGTTTGTCATGTTCATCGCCTTCGATAAGGTTCGCGACTTCCTGCTCAAGATCCAGTTTGTCACCACGTACATTGCGCCGTGGCAGATCACCTGGGGATCGGCGTTCCACGCGTTCGCGCAGCCCTTCTCGGTGCCCCACTCTGCGATGTTGTTCGCGCAGGCGGCTGTGTCAGCGGCTCTGTCCGGCCCTCTCAGTCCCTTCCTCGGCTCTGCTGTGTTCATCTCGTCTTATGTACGTCCGGTCAAGTTTTGGGAGAGGGACTACAACACCAAACGGGTGGACCACAGCAACACGCGGCTGGCGCTTCATTTGGACAGGAGTCCCGGCGCCAACGATAACAACCTGAACTCCATCTTCTACGAGCACCTGACCCGGTCGCTGCAGCACTCGCTCTACGGAGATATCATGCTGGGTGAGTGATGGGTGTGACCGAGGCTTTATACTGGTGGGCATTGCCATATTGTCGTCCGTGTCTTTTTTTTCCTTGATAAAGTCCACGTTGTCAAGTAGTGTCCACAAATAAAAGCATAATTTGTCATAGGCATAATTTGTTTTTCCCCTCCGAGTCTGATAGCATGTCACTTGCTTGTTTCCCTTGGCCTTATTTTTGCCTCAAGTCCCGATTATATATTGTAAAAAAGCCCCGCTCATCCTCCCCAGACCCATCGGACTGTTCCGCTCACCTATCTCCCTCGACAGGTCGGTGGGGCGTGGTGTCCCAGGGCGACTGTTTCGTGCTCGCCTCCGACTACCTCAACTGTCTGGTGCACATCATTGAGCTCGGTAACGGCCTGGTGACGTTCCAAGTGCGCGGCCTGGAGTTCCGCGGCACCTACTGCCAACAGCGAGAGGTCGAGGCCATCACTGAGGGCGTCGAGGAGGACGCAGGTACGACGGAAGGCGCTGAGGGATCATAGAGCTGTCTGTTGTCAGTGGGAATCAGGAGGTTATTAAGCTGGGACGTTTAGGTATCTGTCGAATCTAGAAGCCGAGGCACATGTTTGGGCGATCATCTCAGGAGTCCGTAGCTTTATATTTATTGACTTCCCAATCATTTCACCAGTGAATGCAGCAGCTTATTCCTCGCATCACAGCCTTTTGCTGACGGGTTGGCTCTACTTTATGTGGCACACCTGACTGGTCCAGGTCTTTGTTCCAAGTCGCTTGTCTCACCCGGCAGCGCGTCACACATCGACCAGTCGAGCGTCCATACCCTTACCACGCCGACCTTCTGACCACAGGGTGCTGCTGCTGCGAGCCGGGTCACCTTCCTCACATCCTGTCGGCCAACCAGATCTTCAACCAGCGCTGGCTGGCCTGGGAGGTGGCCGCCGCGCGCTACGTGCTGGAGGGGTACAGCATCTCCGACAACTCGGCCACCTCCATGCTGCAAGTGTTCGACCTCAGAAAGGTGCTCATCACTTACTACGTCAAGGTGAGCTGGACGATTGAAAGGGCGGCTATAAATGCTGCACTGCATTATCAGTAGGTAATACATAGGTATGCTGGCCCATGACCCTATGGAGTACGCTACTCGTTACAGCCGTATTCATCTGTAATGGTTTTGGATGTTCCGCTGACTCCTTGTGTTTGTAAGTCAAAGGTCAAAGTATTGTTGTTTCGCGCGGCGATTCATGACATTTTTGCACATTTTGGCGTACGTTTTTTTAAGGATGTACTTGATCCTGGTAATTCATGATGCAGTTTTAATATTCTGTCCCCGAAACAAGGAATTGATGAGCCCCGCCTATCGCGCCACAGAGTATCATCTTCTACGCGCTGCGCTCTACCAAGCTGGAGCAGTGGCTGTCGAGGGAGGAGATCATGTCGCACGTGCTGGAGCACACCACCAGCCCCGGCTTCGTGGACGTCGACCCCATCTTCAACATGAACATCGACGAGGACTACGACTTCCGCGCGTCAGGCATCACCCGCAACAGCTTCTGCAACGTCTACCTCGAGTGGATCAAGTACTGCGTCCAGCAGCGCGACAAGGTCTGTGCTATATTCGGTATTTAAGTGCTGTATTTTATACGTACGAAATGTGTTAGGGCTTTTTGTTATAAAATTTGTTATCATAAAACACAATGTTATTCAGTAACCTGATCTCGCTGGTTGTTCAGTGTTCAACGTTTTGCTGTTTCTCGCACGTCCTCCCTCCTCCCACTCTCAGCTGATGACAGTGCTGGTCTGTCTCTTATACCATCTCCTACCCCGTCTGACCCCTACCCTGTGCGCCTACAGGCGATGGAGTGCACGTGCGACTCTCCGGTGGTGTCTCTGTGCCTGGCGCTCAGTCTGCTGGGCCGACGGACACTCAGCGACGCCTCACACCACTCCATCTCCAGGTAAGGACCAACGACCGCCTTGCTTAGTGCCATTGTGGAGCAAATCGTTGAACTGGGCTCAACGGAGATTTGGGTCCTTTAATGCGCGTATTTCACTGAACACACACCCCATTTCGATCATAACTGTTGTATTATGATGTGGTTATTGTTCTTAAGCAAAGCGTTGGTTGGACATTGTTGAACGCTATGGAGCTCAGATACCGACTAGATTCAACCAAAGTGTCTCTGGATGACTGATGTATCCCTTCTGGTTACAGCGTGGAGTTTTTCCTGTACGGTCTGCACGCGCTGTTCAAGGGCGACTTCCGGATCACCTCTTTGCGAGACGAGTGGGTGTTCTCGGACATGGACCTGCTGCGCAAGGTGGTGGCGCCCGGCATCCGAATGTCGCTCAAACTCCACCAGGTGAGAAGGACGGCGCACAGTGGGGGACTGAGGGTGGTTTCGGTGAGGAATGTGAAGTGTGAGCTGATGGTGAACTGAAGGACGGAGTTTTCTGTTTCGGTCACACATAGAGTACATGAATCATGTTATCTATGGCTCACAGTTTAAGACCCCATAGGACCCATCATTAGACTAAACTTCTAACCCTCAGTACCGCCTGCGGACCTCAGTCAATATTGGGTGGCAACAGTTGTCGCTCAGTGCACTTACTGCAGCCATGGCAGTAGTTTGGGTGGCAATATCGGGTGGCAGTGAGCCATCTGACTCACTGTGTTTCGATCCACCCCCAGGACCACTTCATGTCGCCCGAGGACTACGAGAAGCCCAGCTGTCTGTACGAGGCGATCCGCTCCCATGACGAGAAGCTGGTCATCTCCCACGAGGGTGACCCGGCCTGGAGGAACGCGGTGCTCTCCGGGGTACCCTCTCTGCTGGCTCTGCGGTTAGTGGGGAGACTTTGGCCGCCAGCAACCGGGTAGACAATGTTCAGCATGGGACGGAAGTAGCTTTGGAACGAGATTGACGTTTGTTGATATTTTGCAGTTTCTTTGTTGAGTGAATATCAAGACATTGCGAAGAGAATGCACCAGTGATGGCCATTTCGAGGGATTCCGCCCCATTTGCGCACCACGTTTTTAGCTTATGAAACCTATGACGCAGATTTGCACTTTTCCGGCATGACATATCATCTGGTACGTCTTTTCGTTGGTGGACAGGACGTGAGGAGAGCGGCAGGTCAAGCTATAAGGCGCGTACAAAACATTATAGTGACTGGTAGATTCAACTGAATTATAAAGGCCATTGGAGTGATACAACATTTTCCTCACCAAACCCCTGGTCTGCCACTCCCGCCTTACCACCGATACCGTCTGTTCGCAGACACATTCTGGACGACGGCGCCGACCAGTACAAGATCATCATGCTGAACAAGCGCCAGCTCAGTTTCCGCGTCATCAAACTGAACAGGGAGTGTGTGAGAGGGCTGTGGGCCGGTCAGCAGCAGGAGCTCATCTATCTGAGAAACAGGAACCCCGAGAGAGGCAGCATACAGAACGCCAAACAGGTGCGGAACTGAGGGTGCAGCGCTGAGGGTGTAGGGTGGAGGATGTGAGCCGTGCCTCGGCTGGGTTGTGGAGCGCGGTTAGTTGGGACGTACTTTGTATATGTCTGAGAATAACTGGACAGCATTCATTGGATCGGAACGTAGAAGGACGGCAGGTCTAGCTGGAAGCTGACGGAGCATATGAAGCTCATTTTTCAACTTCGAAGCTTCTCATGCTAGGCCAGACCTCGTTGAGAATGTCCGTACTGCATACTCCTTTCCTATCTATTTGACCACCCCTTCCGCCGCTCTCCAGGCGCTGCGGAACATCATCAACTCGTCGTGCGACCAGCCGATCGGCTACCCCATCTACGTGTCACCCCTGACCACCTCCTATGTGGAGACGCACGCGCAGATCAGCCGGATTGTGGGCGGGCCCATCAGCTTCGGCTGGGTCAAGCGCCGCCTGCTGGCCGCCTGGCAGCGGCTGTGCGCGCGCTGCGGCGAGGGCTGTGTGTCCGGCGGCAGCGTGCTCCAGGAGGATGGCGTGCGCTACATCGCACACCCCTGCTCCGTCCAGATGGGTAAGTGTTGTTATACACCCCAACTCCTGCTCTGTCGAGATGGGCGAGTGTTGGGTAAGCGTTGCTTGTTTACGTTACTTACTCACGAATTATTGTTTCTATGAATACAGCTTGTCTGTCCACACTCCAGCTTTTGTGTGATGAGAACTGAGAGATCCTCCGTCCGCCCGTATCTCTGACTGTATGCGGTTACTGACGATTCCCCGTTCATTTTCGGTCCACAGCGACGTTCGCGGTGTCGGGCAGCCAGGAGATGGGCGGCGGCAGCGGCCGCGGCAGCCTGGGTCCGCGCTCGGCCGGTACCTTCCCACAGCACCTGGTCGCCCCGCCGGGGGTCAAACCCACCTCTGCCACCCTGCCGGCGCTCTCTGGCGCGTACCCCGTCCCGTGCGCCGGCCGGGCGGGCCGCAGCCTGCCGCCGCCGCGCCGGCCCGGCGCCGCGACTGCCGCCGGAGGAGCCGCCGCGCCGGACGTGTCCCCGGTGCTGATGCTGTACCCGACGGCGACGGCGGCGGCCAGTCCGGCGCGGGCCAGGGTGCGCCAGGTCCGCTCTGGCAGCCCGGCGGCGACCGCTGGAGGGGTGACGGCGCCCCAGCCCCGGCTGCCGCTGGGGTCCACAGCCAAGGTGAGGAAGGAGAGCGAATCAGACGGACACTGCCGGCCCTGGAGCAGCTGAGCACTTTTGCTTTGTGTATACTTAAGCTATTCGTTATTCCTAAAATTGCTATCGATTCGTGTACCCTGGTTGAATTTTTTTCCTTATCTGAAACACTAGTTTATCAGCATTATAGTAGGACGTTCTACTCATTGCTTAACGGATGTCCTTTATTACCCATGTCCTCTCACAGCCTTGTCTAACTATCAGCTGTGTATAACCTGTTGACTTTGCCAACTAACTTCTTCGCTGAATTAATCGTCTTGTGCTGACTGCTGAAACCCTCTCCCGTTGCGGGTATCGATCCTCCCCACTGTCCGGGCTCTCACTGCCTCCCCTTCCCCTCTCGGCAGCTGGTGGACGGCGGCGTGGTGTACGACAGCATCAACCAGGGCCGGCGTGTGGACGTGCTCTGGCCCGACGACCGGTGGCGGCAGCGCGGCGGAAAGAACGCCTGGGGCGCCTGGCTGCCGGACGGCCGCTGCGGCACCGTGGTCCACTACTGGTGTCCGTCCCACCCCGACAGGCGGTACAGGTGAGTACAGTACTGTACTGGGTACTGGGGTACTGGTGCATACACTACTGGTGTCCGTCCCATCCCGACCGGCGGTACAGGTAGGTACTGGGTACTGGTACTGGGTACTGGTACATACTCTACTGGTGTCCGTCCCACCCCGACCGGCGGTACAGGTAGGTACTGGGTACTGGTACTGTACTGGGTACTGCGGCACCGTGGTCCACTACTGGTGTCCGTCCCACCCCGACAGGCGGTACAGGTAGGTACTGGGTACTGGTACTGTACTGGGTACTGCGGTGCAGCTGGTGCACTAACTGCTGGTGTCCGTCCCGTCCAGACACTAGGCGGTACAGGTACGGACGGAGATACAGATGATGCTCGTAACATTGGCATCAGCTAGCAGTCATGACATTAACAAAGATGTGGCATCTACCTTGTTAGAAACGCTAGCTTATGGGGAACCTGTGATTTGTCGAATCTGGCCCATTTCATGTGACGCTGTTGTTTCCTGCTAGCCTGACCGCCCCTGTCTGTGCCGGCAGGTCACACGTGGACCGTACCATCCTCCTGCTGGAGATGGAGGGCAACTACGTACCGGTGGCCGAGGTGGGCTGTCAGCCGGCCGATCCGGCCGCCTCGCTCTCCTCCATCACCGAGCCGGAGCGAGCGGTGGAGGTGTGACCCCGGCCCCGCGGCGCCGGCGCGCACACCTCTCCCAGCTACTTTGTCATGCACAGACTGTGATAGCGTCCGGCGCGCGCCGCTGCTGCTGCCGCTGGGCGACCGCGCTGCCCGTCCGGCAGACTGCGTCCGCTCGTGTTTTTACAGGGCCCTGTTACGGCGCGTGTGCTGTGTGTTGGACGGACGCAGTGCAGCCATTCCTGAGTGGAAGGTGGTCTCGACCGGTGTGGGGAGTCAGTGGACAGAAGAGTGCGCCGGTTTTATTATTGTCATTATTTTGGTATTATTATCGTCTGTACCAGGAGTTATGTTAGAGCTGCTGTGAGTTTGATGTTGCCTTGGCGTGCCACACATGAGCTCACCGGTTTGTTGTCATGTTATCTGATGCAGTACCGTGGCGTGGTCCGATGGTAGGACCCGAGTGCAGGCGGCAGAGACCAGGGCGCGGGTGTGGGTACCGGGGGCGTTTTGTTACACATGTTTGAGCGAAGTCCGTACTTAAATATCGAAGTATTGTGCCCCATTTGCCAATGAAGGGCAACACTGAAATACAACGCTGTTTTTAAAAAGGAGGTGCGTCTGTAATAGATTCGCTCGACTGGCGTGTAAGAAGACTGCTAACGAAATCAGGCAGCGCTAGCAGGTAATGCAAGTCACTACCCCCAAACGGTCAGCAGTCCGCAATAGCACTCTCAAGACGTGGTTGGCGTGCCCGGCGCCACCTGTGGATTCAGAAACCTGCGAGTCTCGCCGATCATCAACCAGCACGTAAATCGTACTTCTGACTGTTGGCGCTGGTCGCAATCAACCCAGTGGATCATCTCAACGTTTCCGATTCAATGTATTCGATTCATTCGATGCCTTTATTAGCGAAGAGTTAATGTCATGACCCGCCGTTCATTCCCGGCCGCCTAACGTCAGCCTCTTTCAAACACTGATCCGATCACCACCGAGTTATATATTCAGTACACAGCTACAAATCACGCGCGGAGCTCCGGCCGGCAGCGGTTACTGCTTGGCGCTGATGGGGTCGATGGTCGGCTCGGGGAAGTTGAACTGGGGAAACTTGGTCACGTCGTCGCCGGCCTTGATGCCGTAGACGCGCGCTATCCTCTCCAGCTCGTTCTTCATCTCGGCCTGCAGCTGGGGCGTCGGGTCGACCAGACCGTCCTTGGCCGACCTGCCAGAGGAGGGGGATGCGTCAGCCCGAGTCATTACCGCGCAAGGACGCGGGATCATTAGATTAGACAGCAGGTACAGCCCTCTGCAAACTGCGTGGTTGGTATTCTTTTTTTCGACAAAAACGAGAATAATGCGAATACTAACCTATCGGTTATTCGCAAGTCGTAACAGCAAGACGCGCAAAACTCCACACCTTAGAATGGCATCATCACCGTATTTATTTTCCTTCTAGTTCGGCAACAAAACCCAAAAGTTTATATTTGCCCCCGAAACAAACTTTTGCATTTTGTTGCCACACAAGGCGTATGCTTTGTTTAGTGATACACCTAATCGAAGGAGTGGAGCATGGCGCATCTATTTGCAGTGAGTTCTGACCGACTGATAGCATATGCCTCTGAGTTATTATCGGTTTAGTCTAAAAAAGATTACCTACCACGCAGTCTGCTGAGGGCTGTACATAGTTACATGCCATTTATCGGTTCACTCAATTGTTGTCTGCTCTCGGGGACGGGCACACTAAAACTTAAAAATCAATATACAGGAAATGCATGCCCAAAATGCCAACAAGCATGATTAATAAATATTTTGAGCCACGGCTTCTGGCAATGTTAGCATATTCCTGACCAAAAAGATATCTCTCCAACAAAAGCAGTGCGTCCCACCTCCCGCCAGAAGCAGATCGATACCCCAGGATCCCTCACAAGCCACTCACTTGCTCTTCTCTCCGTACTGGCGCAGTTTGTCGACGAACAGTTTCTGGATGGGGTCGTTATTCTGGAGGGCTGCTGCCGTGTTGATCTGGCGGCCCAGACGGACCGAGGCCAGGGCCTGCCGCAGCGGACGCGCCAGCTGACTCATGGTGGCTGGTGGGGGGCCTGCAGACAGAGGGTATATATGGACACATTGGATAACAAATTGAGACTGAAACATAGGTACTAGTCCAACCAGAGGCCAGCTAGGTTTAAGAGGAAAATACAAGTCATGTACCTAGCAGGTAAAATCTTAACTTCAAGAGCAGTCAACCTAAACATGTCAGCGCCCCTGTGGCTCCCATGGCCAAAGTGGTGGGGCTTAGCTAGGTAGTGGCCGATCCGGTGAGAGCAGGACTCTGGGTATGACATCATACTTCCTGCAGCTCTAGCGGCTGCTCGGGAGTAACAGCATGGAAACTTTGACATAAACTGTGTGCGTGAAACAAAAAATTGTGCATTTCACTTTTTATGTAGGTTGGTATTGTCATTCAATTTCACAAAAAAAGTAATACAATAATTAATGACAGTACCAACTGAAGTGATTTGGTCATTATATAGCCTTTACACAAATTGTGTAAAAACTGAAATTAGGCTCAGCCTCCCGACTGGCGACCATGGGAGCCGCGGTGGCTGCAGAGCTGGAGCACTAAAACAGGGCCCTGGTGTGGATCATCTGTGTTATTGGCATGAGCTGGTGCAGATTTATCAGCCAATCTGATGCGGCTTGTTAACTCATCTGCACAGAGCTTTGCAGTCTGGGTTGTAAGCTATAGGTAACTAGGCATAAGCTAAGCATAACCTGGCATGAGAACTTGACAAAGTCCTTGCAAAAGCTTCTTAGGAGAATGATTATGCATCCAATTAAAGTTAATGGCAAAATAAACTCAGAAAACATAAGTAGGTACCTACTCAATGAAAATTACTCCCATCTGAAGGCCCTAAATCAGTTGGTGACATACCAGGGAAATAAGCTAAAATAAGAGTGCTCTATTTATTGCTCCTGCCCCATGTTGAAGAGATACCCCTAAAAACGTGATCTTTTATCGGCCCTTACGCAGCAAGGCAGTAATTCTCAGACCGGTGGATGGTATCAATAGAAAGAGAATGCGTCAAAGATTAAAATGAATTAATTAAAATAACATTAAAATATTAATTAAGCGTGGAAATTAGTCCCAAACATAAGCTAATTATTGCTTCTACCTCGGCGACGGCGCTCCCCGCAGTCAGCGGAGAAGCTAAAATAAAAGCCACCATCCTCCTCCGTAAGTCAATTTTAGAGCGGCCGAGCGGGCCGATGTGGGGCCACCAAACTGAGGTAAGACGTGGCTAGCAATTGCAAACCGCCATAGAAATCAATATCTTAAGACGTACAATATGGGATGATTACTCTGAAGCTGGAGTGAAAGCATGAGTAGATTGCAAGAAACGAAATGCATAGATTGGTTGAATTATGTACAATAGGCACAGCTCAATAGATGAAGCCATTTCTATGATGTTGACATTTGACATAACCCTTCCTCTCCTCACCTATGACCTAAGTGCATTGGCAGTTACCGGCATAGTTTTTGAGCACGAGTTTAATTCGCCATCGGGCCGCAATGCATGTTGCTAGGCTGCTGCAATTACAACGAACATACGAATACTGCCTTCATTTGTAGACGTTTGTTTTTTAAGCGGTCTTTGACGTACAAGGGGGCATACCTGTCGACAACTTGAGTTTCTCCGAATTTCAAAAACTCCCAGAATTTCAATTCCTTATGCACTGTTGTAGGTACAGCTACGTTCACAAGTATTCGTTTCCTCCTGTTCTAAAAAGGATGATATTTGTCGATTTCGTGCGTCGCTGATAAGAGGGTGCGTTTAATAATTAGGCCCAACGCTTTCTGCATCCGTGAGTACCTACCTTCAAAAGGGAACAACAGTTTCCATTTATTACACTATGGGACATGTGACAAAATGACCACTGGAACACGCATGAAACGGAGCTCATATTCCTAAAAATGTCTACAATCACTTCCTTTCTGACACTATTAGCAAATACCATCTCAAGTTAGGTGGTTGACAGACAGTCAATGGAGATCTGGGGAGACTGAGTGATGCCGATTCACCACTTAACTGATATGAGGGCTGAGGGCAGAGAAACAGGCAACATGCACAACTGACAACTTGACAAGTGACAAAACACTACCAATATTGCGCAGTGCACAACATATTACAGCGGCCAGCCCAAAAAAAAAATGCTTTTGGTGGCTAATTGCAAAACAAGTCACTAATAAAATATGTCTTAGTTGCAGCTGAACACTGCACAATGATCACACTGTTCACGCATTGAGTGAGATGCCACAGGTGGTTTGAATCACACTTTGATACAACTGCAAATCTGAAGTGTTATTATGAGATTCATGCCTCCATGATCACAGCACTTTGGTTGTGGTTGGCATAACACTTGTAGTCTGCAGAGTTCCACATGAACTGCAGACACCTCATCTGGTGGTCTTCATGTTGCTCAACTTCTTTAGGAGGCAAATGTCGACCACCCAGCGGAAGCATGGTCCTGCAGAAAAGAAAGGTAATGCATAAGGTACAAACATTATCTGCTGAAACAGCCCCTTCTGTTGGCTGTTATTAAACTTTTAACATAACATAACAACATGTATTCCATATATATTACAATTGTTGAAGTAAAATACTGCCGGCTATTTCAATACCAGAACATGAAATTATATTGTGGCATAATTCACATGCTCAGCTATCAGTATCAAATAATAAAATAATTTAAAATTTGGCATATTCTATAAAACACATTCATATAATTTTCTACTTCACGTCACAAGGACTCACAATCTTTCTGTTGGGTGTTTGATTGACGCATTAACTAGGTTTGTCTTAGGTCTTATTATTACACAAAAAAATCATATTGCATTATTGTATCAAAATACTGCCAGCAATAACAAAACAAGAACATGAAATGTCAATGAGCAGGCCGCCTTTCCTAAAAATGGGTTACTTTGAAAATAATTTTAGTTTCTTTTAAGGAAAAGGAGAAATGATTATCAGGTAATTATCAGAAAACCACTCAACCAGCAAGTGGCTGGGTGGTTTCACAGCAAACATCAAGCCAAAACATATATTTACATTTATCTAACAATTGAGCCATTTGACTACCACAAGGATATGTGAGCAAAATAAGAATCCAATTATCCAGTGTTGACTTCCTTGCAAAGTTTATGCCTTATTTTATGAAAACGTGTCACTAGAATATGATACTTATCATCGAATATTATTTAATTTACGATTTATTTCGATCGAAACGCACATGGAGTCACGCGCCATTTTCGTCGACGATTAATATGATCGTATTTCATGAAGAGATGAGGGGTTTCAATGGTCTTTCAAAGCAATAATTTGATGCAAAAATTGGTAGGAAATAATATAAAGCTGGTTCAAATGGCCATCAACCATTTAAAACACCGAAAATACTCACAACTCCGTCCCGACGACCACGCAGCACCGCGCACGCCACACTACTGGCACAATGCCAAAACTGCTGTCACAGCAGAAATGTTTTTTATTCTCGATTGCAATTATGGAATTATTTATTAAACAGAAGACGATCTTTCCGAAAAACCGACTGAT